TCACATTCATTCTTACTTTAAAGGGGTGAATTTTTTACTTTTCTGAAAAAAATAAAGGTGTAAATTTTTTTTATTCTGTAAAGCATTACAAAACGAAATTTGAATTAATAAAAGTTACTCCCGTTCAAAAAAACAAAATTCTTATTTTTTTTTGGATGTTTCAAACTACTTTTTTTTTTGGAAAAAAATGTATCGTTCATAATCTCTTTCTCTCTTCTACATTATTTTCAACAATATATTTTCACTTTTTTTTAAAATTTTGTCTCAAATCAAACTAATTTTTTTTAGGGAACAAAGAGTAGAAAAGAGAAAACAAGTTGGGGCCTATAGGGGAGTGGGGGTAACTTTATAAGGCCATTGGAAGTTTCCCAAATTAGTATTCTAGGGTTTTCTAGCGGTCCCTCCTTCACCGCAGCCCCATTCTTTCATCTACCACTGATTTATTGCTCGAGTCTCGCGTTCTCACAGAATCGGAAAAGTGCCGGAGTCCAATCGGCGTCAGGCTTAGGGTTCGTTGGAAGGAATTTTATATTCAGGAATGGAGGAGATAACGGAGGGAATGAAAAACGTCAGCGTCACCGGCGGGGACGTTCAGAAGAAGAATCGCATTCAAGTCTCCAACACCAAGAAGCCCATCTTCTTTTATGTTAATCTTGCCAAGGTTTAGTCTTGATTTCTCATATTTAATTAGGTTATTTCTATCTTTGTGATTTTTTGTGTGCATGTGATGTATTTCTATGTATATCTCCCTTCTCCCTGCAGTATTTTTTCTTCTTTTTTTAGTCAAACTGGTTGAATCTTAATCAAATTGAGTTGCATATTAATACAATGGAACAATATTTCTAATAAAACTATTTGTGTTCTTATATGTAATGTTTTTTTATTAACATTTTTGTGCAAAATTGAACTGCTAGCATAAAGTAAAATATCCTAAATCAAGTGCTCACAACGGTTGGGTCGACATGAACTAGATGACATTGGGTCAAACATGCATTTTCTAACCCGAACCAAGGTGTTGAACATAAATAGGGAGTACTATTTATGTTGTTGAATTTGTCCAAGTCAAAATGAAAATAGTCATGTTATAAAGAAAATGTTGCAATACCTAAGAAACTCAAGGTCCCCAACGTCACGTTATTTTATTTTGTGAAGGTAATATCATATTGCTTGAAACTTTGAAATCTCATTTTTCGGACAAGATGATTCCTTACTTATCACATCTCGGCGTTAGGCCTCATCTGACACCCAGCCTTGGTCAACATTTCTGCCTGGATGTGTGTAATTGTCATTATGAAATGTTTGAAATATGTGTGTTTTCTGCAGAGGTATATGCAGCAGCACAATGAGGTTGAGCTCTCTGGTCTTGGAATGGGTATGTCTTCATATCATTGGCAGCTTATTGAATGTTGGTTACTTCTTTTAACAGATAAAAGACATTTTTGGGTTGCATACGGCATCTTATGGGCTGTCATTATTGAAGTTTAGACACTGTTACACCTTAATGTGTTCCCTAGTTAATTTGTACGTAGCTCTTAGTTTGCTAATACATCAGTGATGTTATTACATAAATAACATATGTACATCATTAGAGTAGTTGGGTAGACATATGAGCCTTAGTTTGTAGTTTATGCGGGTGTGTTTGTATGCCATAGAATCATTGGGTAGACCTGTGGTCTGAGCTTGAAGTTTTTGTTGGTGTGTTTTTATTTTATGCGTTAGTTTGTAGCTTGTGCTTGTGTGTGTTTTATGCTTCGTGTCTAGTTGCTAGATTTGGTTGGCAGGCTTCATATGTCTATGCTCGTACTTAATTCATGACACTATGATTTCTTTGTGTGTATTCCTGTATTTGAGTAGGGGGTCTATCTCTTAGAAACAGCCTCTCTACTTCCTAGAGCAAGGCCTTCTTACACATTCCCTCCCCTGGACATACTCGTTGTGGGATTGTACTGGATTTTTTTGATGTTACCTTATAAACATCATTGAAATGGTGTACAAAGTTGTCTATTTGGAGTGTTTGCTTGTTGGACGGTAGAAAATTTTCCAATTTAGTCCCCATTGTATAAGCGCATTGGCTGCATTCACATTTTTGGTTGCCAGCATTCTTTCACTTAAGTGCACTTAATTTCTTGCTATGTTTGGTCCTTTGACTACTTATGTGGCTGGTTTCAGTACAATTTCTTGTTGCCTTTTACCACATAAGTGACTGGAAGGGGAGGGGCAAGTGGCAACTCATAGTGGTAAACCAAATCTGTAACAAATGAAAGTTAGAGAGCAAAAGTGAGAATGACCTAATGGGGTTGTTGGACCAGAAGTAGAATTTTTTCATGTTCTTAAAATCCCCATGCTAAGAGCCTAAGACACCCTTAACCTCTTACAGTTCACCACACCTGGCCCCTACACTCCCACTGCTCAAATGATGTGGATTGTTAATCAGCTGTTGAGCTATGTGTTGATTGTCATGTAATTTGGATTCAGTCATGTTATATGCCACTTTACTCATTTCATATACGACAACAGATTGAGTAAAATCTCATACGAAATAGGGTCTGGTGTGTGTATGAAAATGTTTCCCTACTTGGTAGTAGAGAGGTTGTTTACAAGAGACCCCTGACTCAAACATGGAAGCACATGCAAAGTAACTGCAGTAGCTGTGTAGCACTCATTTTGTTTGCCACTTTACTCATTTGAGTCATTTCCTAAGTTGGACAAATTATCTATATTAGGTTATTGATGAAATCCTGTTTATATCACAGCTATTTCCACTGTAGTCTCAATAAGTGAAATTCTGAAGAACGATGGATTGGCTTTGGAGAAGAGTAAGAACTTCTGACTTACTTTGTACTTTATAAATGAGTTAATGTTAAAAAAATCTTTACTAGAAAAAGGAGATATAATTTTTTTATTGTTTGTTAGTTACTCAGTTTGGGTTTTCCTGAAATATGGAATAATATAATTGCTGTATTGCAGAGATCACGACATCGACGGTTGATGTTCGAGATGATTCCAGAGGGCGCCCAATCACAAAAGCCAAAGTAAGTTAATATTCCCTGTGACTTGAAATAAACTTCATGGATTGACCTGAGGGAGTTTTAAAAAAAGTGTTGAAAAGTAAAGTGTATTGCTGTAATTTGTTGAGAGCCAAGAGAATGATTGTAAGCTACATATTTTTACCTTGGTCCCTACAAAATGTTGAATTTTTCACTTTTTGTTTCATAGTACTTGTCAAATCCACTTTTGAAATTCTCCATATCAATCTATTGCATCCTTGAAAATGTGAATTGTGTGTTCCAACTAATAGTAGTCACCGTAAAAACTGATGATTACCAATGGTAAATGCACAAGAGCCAACGTGTATAGGTGATGTCTCCAAATTTTCGTATGCTATCAATATTTAACATTCTTTGGGAACAGGTAGAAGAAAAATAGAGAAGTGTTATGTTTTTTTTTGGGACGGATGAAAAATGATTCTTTTAGTAGAATCTGCTTACTCTAATAATGCTAACCGGTTTTTTTTGGTGTAGATTGAAATTGTTCTCGGGAAGAGTGATAAATTTGATGAGATAATTGCAGCAGCAGCAGCTGCAAAGGACCAACAAGTTGGTGGTGAAGAACAAAGCTAAATTCTCTAGTAGTAATTAATTAATGTTTTTGCTTGTTGTCATCTTCTTCCTCCTTAGTGTCTATCTCTTGCATTAAATTTCCTCCCTGCACCAATTAGGTTTTCCAACCCTTCAAAAAGAAAAAAAAATCTGGGATAAGACAAGTTTCATTCATCAAATATTTATGTAGTCAAACAAAGCTTTAGAATCATAATACTTTTATCGGTTCGAAGATAACTTTATTGATAATAGTTGGCATCTGCCTCGGGTGTCATACTATGACACTAGGCTATTTGATCTGTTCTAAATAGGATTTTATGAAATCAGTAGCAAGCAAGGAGCCTTTGGGGCTTGATCCTCTTGTAGCTCACCTCTATTATGAAGGGTGTGCAGCTCGCTCTGCGGGCCCCACCGTGTATTCTGAGATACACTGTTGATCGTGTCTCTTGTGTGGGGGTTCTCGTGTTGGCGATCGCAACCTCTAACATGCTTCCACTTGCCCATATTGTCAAAATATATGCTTATTCCATCTTGGAAACACATATTGCAATTTACTTCAGTTTGAAATAATTTACAAAGTCAGATGCAAATTGTTACTTCTTATTCATGCCGTCCTATTTGGCACTTATTATTGCACATTTGTTTAAGCTATTGGTTCTAAAAGCTCTTCCAATCTCATTGGTTGTGAGAAAGCCATCCTTAAATTGGAGCAAAGGAGTGATTTGATGAGTGTGAGTATTAAGAAGAATAATTCTTCTGACCCAGACTAAATTGTTTGTTTCCTATTCACATGGTTAAATTTTATTTATTTTTGTTTTCTATTTTCATTGGTTATTTGATAAAATAATATAGTTAGATTATTCCACTAGTTTTGTAAATCTTTTGATATAGTTTTGTAATATGTAAATTTTATTTTTTAATTGTTTTTTTTCATATGAAATGATTTGAAAATAATTTCAGTCAAATATCATAAATCGAAATAGACAATTTAAATTAGGACGGAGGGAGTAGTGTTTTAACAATTAATAGAGGGGTAGTGACTGGTGAGAGATGTGAAGAATGAGAGAGCTAAGTGCTAAGCAAAGGAGATGTTTAAGTACTGAGAACAAGTAAAGCATGACTTGTGAATGAAAGACTCCATCCTCACTCTTAATTTAGTTGTATTCATTTACAGAGTATTACTTTAAATGAAAAATAATTTTTCTTATTTGGTTATAAGAGAAAAAAAGAAAAGTGTGAATAAAACAAAATAAGAAGGCAAAATGTACTAAGGGGAGGAAAAACAAAAATTCTCTCATTTTGGTGAGGAAATGAAAAAAACATTTTCCTTTCTTTTTCTTCCGAACTCCTTGAACCAAACATGGTGTATGGGTTTAAGGAGGGACAGGACCCGCTTCGGAACCCAACAAAGTAGCAGGACCCCATTTTCATAATATGACACCTAAAATCAATGTCAAAAGAAATGTTGTGATAGTTGGCACGCTGAATTTAAAAAATAAAACTATGATTAATATTCATCAAGGAAAGAACAAAAGCAATATGAAGTACACTATACACTTCTTTTCTTGTTCTATTCATTTGCAATCTGGACAATCTTCTTTCCAACGTTATCCCCACGAAAGAGTGCGACGAAAGCCGATGGAATGCTCTCGACGCCATGGGAGATATCCTCGACCACTTCAATCTTTCGAGCTTCGAGTAGCTCCCTAGTCTTCGAGTAGAATTCCGCATGGGATTTCATGAAGTCAGCAGCAAGGAACCCTTGGAGCTTGATCCTCTTGTAGATCACGTCAATCATGTCGGGTGCAGCCCGCTCTGTGGGGCCCGCCGCATATTCGGAGATGGCACCGCAGACCGCGACTCTTCCGTGCGGGTTCATGTTGGAAATCGCAGCTTCCAGCATGCGTCCGCCCACATTGTCAAAATATATGTCTATTCCGTTTGGGAAACACCTGGTGAAACAATTGTGTTTTTTGAGGAAAAGGTGATTTTTGCTTGGGATGGTTAGAGTCTGTGTAATTGTGGTTAGAATGATAAATACTCTTTTTGTCTGGTGTCTTTCTTCTTAGTTAACTTTTCAAGTCTCCAATAGAGCACCGATATATTACTAATGTTCTTTTGACACCGTCCATTTAGGGGTACTAACATGCTCTGTTCGACCCTGAAGGGACTGCCCCCTAGTCTAGAGGGTTAGTGACAAGGAACCATTTCGGGGTCAAACTAAACATCGTAGGGCCCTTAAATGGCGTGAATGTCATGTTATGGCACCCATGATGGGTGGGTGTCAAAGGAACCCCACTCTTGAAATAGAAGTTAGAAACTCTAAAATGAGGGTGTGGGTGGAAGAATTGAAAAATGAGAACAAGAGTGGACCTTTTAAGAGCAGAATTGAGATCAGGTTCCTCTTTGTAGTTGAAGGCATCATCAAAACCAAGCCTCTCTCTAAGCATCTTCACCTGCAATATGTGTAACACTCAATACTCAATAGTTGCCTTCCACCTTAATTAAGAATGTATGTCATCATTGACAGTATTTTAGTTTCGGGCATCTAATGGACTAAGGCAGCATTCCGTTAAACTTATTTTTCTGCTTATTACTTATTCTTATTATAATTAGATCATACCAGACCAAATCAGATCAGAAACAGCTTTAATTATAACTGTAATCAGATCAGATCAGTTCAGATCAGGTGAACAAAACGCGACCTAAAAAAAGGCACATTAAAGTTTTCATGCTTCATACTCTCTAAAGTGTTGGACAATAATTGCAGCAATGCATCTAGGGTCTAACACAAACAGTCTCTCTAGGGTCTCACCAGTATTTCTCCCACATTGGAAAACTAATCCAGCCTGAGCAGTCTTCACAATTGGTAAGCATTTGGAAGGGAACTCCTTGGCTTCAAGCCCTTGTCATGTCGTGAGTTCCATAGATATCCCTTAGCAATTGCTGAATCGGGGAGTTGAATTCACGACCATCTCTTGGCATTCGCGGCTCTTTTCTATTCTATAGGTATGCATTGCAAGTTTGCGCTCATTGCCAATGACCCTAAAAGAGTCATTATTGATAATGTTCTAGCTTGAGGTTCTTGGAAACGTCTCTACTCTCGCATAGGGGTGAGGTACGGGTACACTCACCCTCCCCAGACCTTACTTTTTGTGGAACCTCACTAGGTTCGTTATTGCAGTTGATGTTTTCACTTGAAGTGAATGATTGACGAAATCAAAATGAAAAAAAAACTTCTCTGTTTTTTATGTGAATGAAATTGCTTACTCTGTGCATTTTAACTTCTAAGACCTTAACTTGGGAGTAAACTAGGATATTGCGATTGAGTCCCAAGTTTAGAGTGTCATTAAATACTCCATAGTATATATTTTATTATTGAATCAAAATTATCATGAAGGCCAAAGAGACTAAAATTGATTTTTTATGTAATTATTAATTCATATTTATTCATCTTCAAGTAAGACAAAATAGGTGTTTAATGGTGAGAAGGTTGACCTTTTGCCGGGAGCCAGCAGAGCCAACAACATAACATCCTAATAGCTTTGCATATTGTCCCACTAAATTCCCAACTGATCCTGCAGCAGCAGACACAAAAACCTTCTCCCCATTCTGAGGTTTACAAACGTCAAAAAATCCACCATATGATGTAAGCCCACTAAAACCTGTGCTTGAGTTTAACAAATGGAAACAATTAGAAAAAGGTTTCTCCAAATCTATAGATTTTTCCTGCTTTAAAATGAACTTTTTTATGTATGTGGTATAAATGCTTTTGTTTGAATGGTCATATTTGCATTTTTCCTTGGGATTTGAATGATCATATTTGCATATTTGCAAGAAGAATCTAATGAAATCATTATTGTATTGCTACGCAATGCAATTTTCATTTTAGTTGATGATTAAAGCTCATTTAGTTTGACTGAGAGAATTCAATTTGAACGAATACATTGGGACGGAGGGAGTATACATCTTAAATTTTGTTTCATACTTGATTTCAAGCAATTTATCATAGGAGTATAGGAAAAATAAACATAATGCATTGAGGCAAGTTTTACCCAAAATTCCAACGTAGTAGGACAGTGGAAAGCTTATGGGATCCAACTTATTCAACAAAGTGCCTTGTTTAACTACACTGTATTCTCCCCAACTAAGAAGCCCAGCAACCAAGTCATCCTTTTCTATATCATCCCTCCCAGATGCCAAAACTTTCCCCACTCCATATGCATCAATGCTCTGTAAAATGAGTGGAAAAAATCAAATTGTATATATGACAAAATAATATATTGGGAGATCACCCAGTCATACCTACAATTCAACATACTAGCCTAGTGAGGTTCAACCCCAAAGAGAATTGGAAAATGGAGTAATCTATTAGACTTGTCTATTAGTTCTTCTTGACTTATCTCAACATCCCCTCAAGTGCAACTAGGATCCTATTGCCTAAAGTTGTCCCTTGTTCAAATAGACCCGGGCTTCTTTTTTGAGCTCCTAAACCTTAGCTCTGCTACCATGTAGAATTGTGAGATTTCTTCCCAAGACTAATTGGGAATGAGAGGAGCCACAGTTAAGCACAGACTGTGATAATGCCCCAACTGGATTTCGAACCGACTTCCCATTTGGGGGAGCCACAGTTAAGCAAACCTCAACATATTAATGGGTGATTTGCTTCTCATTTCACAAATCCATCAATACCATCAAATGATCACATACCAAAAGCAAAAGAAGAAGAATAGGAACTTACCTCACCGGGAACAATGGCGGCGGAGAAATCGTTGCCCGCCCGCTGCGAGGAACTTCGCGACTTCATCCGGTTCAGTTGGTACGGGTCAATCGACACATACAAGTTCTTCACAACGACATCTTTCGAACCCGCCGGTTCAATTGAAAGAGAGATATTTTCGATCTCAAATCCGAAGTCGGATTCCTCTGGTGCGCCATCTATGCTACTCCTTATTGACACTTTCTCACTGCCATTTGTGTAGCAGATTGGATTATTATGCTGCGATTGAGCTTGTTGCAGAGGATGTCATGGAGGAATGATAGAAGAGTAAATTACACATATAGGACCAAAAGAGGTCCCTTTTCCGTTGTTAGGAGCAGTCCTATTTTTGTACACGTGGGTTGTAGTTAAAAGACTGCTATGCCCTCCAATTTAGACTTTAATGAAAATCTATCTATATACAAAGATAGGATGCAAATTGGAACAGTGAATTGGACAATTCTTCCCGCCAGCTTCTTTTGGAAGCTTAATCCTTATCCATCGTGTCTCTGTATCATATTTTATGCCAGGGGCAGGCTTTTTTTCGTTTATCTAGACACGGCAAAGAGAGCTAGGGTTTTGACCCTTCTTATGGCCATGGACAACGGGCCTTTGGGAGACGACAGCGCTGGCTAGGTTTTCTACCGTAGCCTGGCTGGATTCCGACGGATGTGAGCAGAGGGCCTTCGGAAAAATTTTGCTGCTCCAAATTGTTGCTTCAACGCTCCTTTTATTGGAAGTCGGAAGATGCCTGCGATGAGGAAGTCAAAGACCTCAACCAGGTGTGTTTTCAGTTATGGAAAACTTTTTTTGAAAATCTTTTTTTAATGGCTTCAATTGCACAATCTTTTACATTTTGCAGCATCAAACATCGCATCCAGTATTCATTATTTTAATAAATTTGGTTATAAAGATTGACCCGATCCCTGTACTCCCCCTACTGATTCAGAAACTCATGTTTATCTATGGGATGAGAAGGTGAGTAATTTCACTTCTCTATTTTGCCCTTCAAATTTAAATAAAAAATATTGATAATTTGTCGTGGTTTCACATCATAACCTCCTAATCTGTAATCTTATTGTCAGCTACCTACTCTGGCTATGGATGCGGAATCATAGAGGTGCTTGCTCAGCCACAACTCCATAAGAATAGAATCAAGAAAAAAAATAGGTTTGATTGCTTAATTTGATTTTTTAATTACAACCTTTTAGCAAAAAACAGGTTTGGTTGATTTAGGATGTAACTTTTCTTTTCATTTAGCAAAACCGGTGGAGATACTTTCAGCAGACACATTTTGCTTATTATAACTATTCCGTGATATAAAAGATAGTTTATTTCCAAAATATGGAATATTGTAATAGTGTCCCAACTTCTAAGGAACAAATTTAATTATGATGAGTATTTGTAGTGTGCATTAGTATATGTAAATCTTCATGTTGTGCGATTGGATGGACTGATATTACTCCGTATACCTATACCTTCTCATATGCTGACCAATAATAGGCTAAGATAATAATATTTGGATGTCTTAGCTTCCCAACTACTTCCACTTCTGTCTGAGTTTTCATTTGGACCTCGGTTTAGACTCTCATTGTGGCAATGTGCATTTTACCATATGAAAACCTACTACATGTTAGTAAAATTTAAAAATTGGTACAATATCTTAATGATACGGAGTAATGATTGTCTACAATCTATTTTTTTATCAATATGCTATAGCTTCATTGTTGATTCCTCAATTTATTTCTCTTTTGATTCTTATGGAGGCTTTGATGATATTTTGAACTTTTATGTTTTGGTACACACAGATTTTGGAAGCTAGGATGGAAGTTAAATTGGAGGCCAGCTTACTCTTATTTCACTGAAGAGTGTTTCCTTGATCAAACAATATATTGTTGCATTCACTTCATCAAAGATCATGATCAGCTCTAGAATTAACATTCAACAGGTATAATTATAAGGCTGATGATTTCCATCAAATGTCTCTTTGTTTGTTGAACTCTTAAATATGAAATATCCTTTTGAATTTGAAATTTGAAACAAACTAAAAATCCAAGGTAAGCGAACATAATAGCATGTGATATTATGTTCTAGATCTTGCAGGCACCAAAAGTTGGGTATGATTAGTTTGACCCACGCGAAGATCACGGATAATTACTTTCTGATCATTTGAAGATTGAAAAAGATTTTAGTAAAAAAATAAAACAGACTTAGATTACTCACTTTATAAAAAAAATTATTGTATTCATATCAAATTTTAAAGTTCAATCAACACTGCTCAAGAATATATTGGCTGAAAAAAAACGTTGGGAGTGCGTTATAATAGGGAGAACTTTCACATAGGGTCCCTTTTATTCCACGAGAGAGGATCGTACATAAGGAAAGTGGTGTCTCTTCAAGATGTATCTTTCCGAGAGGAGAGACGCAATTCAGTGTAACGGGAGAAACAACACGTTTAAATTCGGTCTGGAGAGGGGACGCCGAAACGTTGTAGATCATGGCAAGAATGTCCCTATGTGTCTCAATTGTTTTTTTGAAGTATACTCTTTTTTTATATAAACTGAGCCACAAGTGTCCTGAAATTCTAGAAAATATGATGGTTGCAAGTTGATTGGTGTTACCTCATGTGAGAACCCCCCATATGATGTTGTTTCTATGATTCCTTGGATGTTTTTGTTCCCGGGCGTTCTTGATTCCATTTCCAAGACACTATTATTGGAATTTTAAATTTGAATTAGAGGATGATGCTTCCTTGTGGGGACGAGTTTCTTTTTTAAATTATTAGTATGAATCTTACATTCAAATGGTTAGTGCAACTTTGCTATAACTTTACTTTCATCTAATTTTGGAACAAAGGTGTTGTTTGAAATGCCACAACCTATTACAATGTATTTTTTCACTCACCGAAATTAATGTCATTTTTTAAAAATTGTTTGAGAAGATAGGTTCTGCACACTTGGTTGTTTTTTTTCCAATTTGAATTTTTATAGTTATATCAAAAAATGAGTGCAAATAAGGCGCTACTCCTCAAAAAAACTTTTTGGGCAGGGTGGGGAGGTCGGTTTAGGTTGGGCCGGGTGAAGGGGGGGTGGGGGTTTACCGGGGGTGCTTGAGGGATAAGAACTATTAATTTGAATGGAGTTTCTCATTCATGGACGTTGATAAGATATGTGTTCCAATTGAGGCTCATATCATAGAATGACATGAGAAACTAATGTCACGCAAATCTCATCGTAGATTTGTGATTGCATTTATAATCATGTTTACTTTATGTACTATCTTAAAAGTTGTCGAATAAAAGTTTGAAGAAATTTTCATCCATTGAATCTATATTATTGATATTTTATATTAAGAATATAATTTTGTGCATCTCTATATCTAATGAGTTATTCCGTATGATATTTCCTTTATTTATATTTTTTTAGCAATGCACAACAGTTAATAATTATTATTTTTATTTCAATAAATTTTTAATACGTGGTAATAACACTTTTACATGAATTTGTAACTTCATTTTCTGGCCGTGCAACGCACGTGTACGAGTCTAGTTAAACAAAAAAGAAGATATGCGCTGATTTACTGATTTACGGATTTACGGAGAAGCGCCAAAGTGTAGCCGCAGCATCCACCGTTGGTGATACCAGCACGAGTTTCCAAATGGGTCTCGACTTCTCCTGCATGACGATCTGTGTGGGTATCGTATAATAGATCTAGGATGCCGTCAATCGGGGATTAGGGCGTTATCATACTGAAATTGAATTGAGGAGGAGACATGATGACGAGGAGCAGTGCAGCGAAGAAAATTGCGAACAGAGAACTGGTAGATGACGATGATGATTTCGTTGACAAGATTCCAATAATAAAGACCATGAATTTAGTGAAGACAACCTCAGGGAGAGTAAGTTCTTTTATTGTGGTTCTTAACTTTTTTTATTTTCTTATAATCCCTGAAATGAGGTGTAAGTTTGTCGACGTTGCATATGTCTTGTTTGTGAAAATGTCTGTGTTGTTGAAATGACTTGCAGTGTTTTTAATTATTTATGTACTTTAGCATCATTTGAGTCATTGTGAAGAAATTAGGTATGGACTGGAATTTAAAGACTTTGTGGTTGTGAAGAAATTGGTTATGTACTTAAGCATCCTGTGAGATTCATGGTTGTGTAATTGAAATGAGTTGGCCTGAAATTTTTTATTTACCCTATTTGTCTGGTGAATGTAGTGTTTGAAGTTTTTTTTTGTTTGGCAGGGATAGTTTTTGTAGGGGTTCGGTAGTGAGTAAGGTTTTTTTTTGTTGTAGTGACCAAATTTTGCCTGAAAATAGGTTTAAAGACTTTACACTGGTTGTAATAATTTTTTTCTTCTTTTAAGGTTTTAGAAGATGGTTTTGAAGTCTTTATTTAGAGTTAATGACTTTTAATAGTTATGACTTATCTATCATTGAGTAAGGTGGAAAGGTTTTCAAAAGGTGGTTTAATTGATTTTGTATTGTTTGTAGTGACCAGAGCTTGGCTTGAGATTATGTTTAAAGACTTGTCTCTGGTCTGATTTAAGATTAATGACTTTTTATAAGTTGCAATTTAAAGACTTTGTACTGGTTTGTAAAAAATGTTGAAATGGGGATACTGAACTTAAAGATAAGTTGCAATTTAAAGACTTTGTAATGGTCTGTATAGGTCATTAAGGGTTTGTGTTTTAAAATGATAAGTGTAATGCCTGGTATATGTTTTGACGTTGGATATTTTGCTACAGGTGTACAAAAGGTTGTGTAATGAAGAGGTTTTGGTCGGGAAGGCAACGCTTAAGGTGACTTGCTTTTGTAATGTGTGGGTTGGTGCAAAAAGTATTCAAGATGTGGTCAGTGCTTCAGATATGGCTGAATTGAAGTTATCTGCATTTGGATTTTTCTTCAAGCTCGGGGGAATTAAATGGGTGAATGGTCAGCTGTTGATTTTATTAGCATTAAATCATGTGTAACCCATTAAGAGGAGTGGAGATGTAGATAGAATTAAGTTTCACATTGGAGACAGAATTGTGGAGTTTAAGAAATCTGATTTTGCATTGATTACGGGGTTGAAGTTTGGAAAGGAGGCTGAGTATGGGGATACTGACCTGGAAAAAGCAAACGACATAAGTTCAAGGTATTTCAATGGGAAAATGAGCGTGACCCGTATACAAGTGGAGAATGTGTTCAACAGTATCAAGAACAGCAGAGGTAGAGAACGGTTGGATGCTGTTAAATTGGCTTTACTGAACTTCCTTGTGAATTATGTGGTGGGTAACCAGGGTTTGACAAAAATCCCAGCGCTGTACATGCATCTTGTTAATGACCTGAGACGTTTCAATGGATTTCAGTGGGGAGAGCATTTGTGGAATGACATGGTGGAAAGCTTACGAAAGTGTTCGTCAATTCTCAACACGGGAGAACATTGCCATTTTACATTTCCAGGCTTCTTATTCCCACTGCAGATTTGGGCGTTTGAGACATTCCCTTCTTTGCGTGAGAATGGAATATGCATTGTGGGTCAGAAGAGGAGTAGTTTGTGGCTTAGGGCATTACGCTGGGAGACAGGCAAGCGCCCGATGCATGACCTGCTGGAGGGGTCAATTTTTGGCATAGAAAAGGTTAAGACGAATGCATTTCTGATCTCTTACGTGAATGTTTTTCTTTAATTAGATTGTGTCTGATATTACTTTATTCACTGCAGGAAAGTGTTCAATGGACAAAGATGGCAGCTACGACAGAGGAGAAAGGGAAACCAAAGATTGCAATGTTATTCACGGCGGGGGATGCAAATAAAGCTAAGATTAACGATGGTGGAGGAGAGCACGTTGATGAAGGGTATGGGGCTGGTCGTAGAAAACTTAAAGGCAAGTTACATTGGGGAAATGTGAACTCTACAAACGAGGAGGAGATAAATGTGCAGCCGAAGGGGAAGGGAAAGGTTGTGATCCACAAGAAGACAAAAGGGCAGAAGACAGAGAAGAAAACAGACGGGTCACTCGGAGGTGCTTCAGGAGGTGCACCACAAGGGAGACAAAGTGATTTGGGAGAAGCACAGGAGATTGAACCATCATTGCGAGATATAATGACGGCAATAGTGGTTATGGAAAAGAGGAACATGAAGATGCGCACAGAAGTTACAAAGCTGCGGATAGCTTTAAATGCCCAGATCCGTGTCCTTAATAGGTTTATAACAATGAACAGGATGGGTAAGCGTTGGCGTAAGGGCAAAAAACGCACAACAAAAGATAATGCGATGCCAAGCTTTGATTTGGGGTTTGAGACGAAGAGAAGAAAGATGACACCGAACCTGATGTTGATGATGACGTTTGGGACGAGGGTATTAATGTTGATGCTGAGATAGGCACCCAACCCGGTGAGTTTCGTAGTGATCTATCTGATCCGTTGAATGCGATATGCACTCAAGAAGTAGAAGGCAGGTAGGTGAAGGCCGTAGATACCTTGGGCCTAGGGAAATGTCCTGAGAGGAATGTAGAGAATGAGGAGTGCGGAAAAGGGACGACGCACATGGTGGAAGACGACATGCTCAACTGTGATGTGGGCACAGGCATAGGTGTTGAGGAAGTGCTGCGTACTGGCGTGGACGAAACCAAAGCAGCATCTCCAGTGAATGGGGACATGTCAGCTATGAATATGAGTGGTCATGGAAATGTAAGAAATTTATGAAGTTTGATATTTAGGCATGTAATTAATGCAATGTATTAATTAATTCAAATTTGACATAATGACCTTTGTAGGAAATTAAGGAAGATGTTGCAGGGTTCACTGACAAGTTCGAGAGAGTATCACAAGTTGTAGAGGTTTATGCCATAAAATTCTTTCTTGGTATATGAGATATTTTAAATAATTATTTTTTTTATCTTTGAGAAACGTTCGCAGGCTGTGCAGGATTTACCAACGGGATGTATTTTTTTCACACAACCCGGGGAGAGCCCGGTTCAGATTGAAAAGAATTCAACTGAGAGGAATGTAGACAGAAATTCAGCAGAGGGGGTTATAAATGATTCAACTGATGAGGTGGGTTTGCCTGTTCTGTTTATGACCATGTTGTCTAGTAATTGACTCCCATAGTGTTTAAATATTGAATGATTAATGATTCTCAGGTGTATGAAGCACCGATTGCAAGTAAGACACCACCGGAATGGAGCGCAAAGCAAAAGAGGCCCTTGAAGTGTCCAGACAGGTTCACTCCAGATGATTTAGCAGTTCGGCGTAAAACAAAGAGGGTTAGAACAGAGGGTGCGCGTGTACCGCATTTTGGGGGAGATGAAGATGAATTCATAGGTCCATTCCTGTTAGACCCGAAGGCAATGCCTGCTGAGGAGGCATTAATGAAGGTTGAGACGTTTATGTACCAAGGACTTTTAAAAAAACCACATTAGAGCATCGGGGCGCAAGTACAAGGTGCCGGATGATGTGCTTGACCCAGGTTTGTACAAGGTTCACTACGACGAGGAAGACACGCTAACAAAGACCTGGTACTACAACATATTTTTCCCCTGGGGATGGCTTTCGGATAAGGTAAACATTGATTTAATTCACGAAGTATGGTTGTAACATTTCTTGGCGAAGTATGTCAGTAATACAATTCTTTTGGATGTAAATGCAGCACCTAGATGTCGTATTCTACTACCTTAGAATGAAGGGAGTAGAGTTTGGGATGGAGCAGCGTTACACAACGACAGACACCCCATTTCTTGCATTGATGAAGACATTATGTGGGAGGTATATGAATAAGGAACTAACAATTGAGCAAGCAACGTGTAATAAGTCAGTAAGAAGTACGATCATGGGAGGGAGGATGGAATACGGTCGTCCGTGGCAGAACATAGATTTTGTATACATGCCGCTGAATACTGGGAACCATTGGATATTGTTGGTGCTGGACATTAAAAAGAAGTTAATCAGAACGTATGACTCGAGCAGCAGGAGAAACGATTCAAATAGAAAGCTGCAGCCATTTCTGCCCTGCCTCCAAATGTTCCTTCCTAAGATAATGGATAAGTTGGGCGTGTATGACGGACGGGAGGAAGGTCCACTGGGAGATGATGTATTGGCGGTTGAAGCTGGATCATGCTGCCCCCAGCAAGCCGACGAGTATGTTATATTTTGGTCTGTATAATGTTATATGCAATGCGTGTGTAATAATTTTTTTTTCGCTTGACGTCATGCACTGGGACATTATGTATCTATTAATTTTGGTCTACATTTTATTGACTATGAATGACGTCGTAAGTCCATTTATAATCATTGTTAAAGACTTCTAAACTTTGCTTGCTCTTAATGCCTTTCTTTCATTATGTCCATATCAGGGTATTATGTTCCATTATGTATCAAAGCTTAGCTCTTTACACACTATCTATCACACTTTTTTTTACTGTCTAAGAATAACATAATGAGGACATTGTGCACTGTTAATGACTTTAGGTAATTTGCTTTAAATTCTTACACACGTCATCACCAGGACATTATGCTTTTTTAGGTCATTTCCAACGTCCTAATCAGGACATTATGTTAAGGACATTATGCTTGTTTACTGACTAAGAATAACATATTGATGACATTATGCCCTGTAGGTCAAGTTGTGGGATGTTCGTGGTGAAGATGGCTGAGTTTCTGATGATGGGGTGCGATGTGGGCGATATGGATGATCATAAAATTGCTGCCTACACGAAGAAGATGACGGTGGAGTTGTTAGCATACTCTGCCGTCTAATGTTATTGAACTTGTGGTTCTTGAAAATAATGCACTAGTTGATGATCTGTTTTTTGATAATATACATGTAGTATCCATACTTTTGTTGCTGAAACTAGACATTCTAAACATGTGGTCGTATTTTGTTTAAATTTCTTGAAGGTATTTGGCAAGTTATGGACATGCATGGTTTGGAAATATTCAGATTTGGTTTTTTGAATAAAAGTACTTAGTGTATTTGGATGAAACCATGGTTGTGGTGTTTGTGTTCCACGCACATTATGAATGCATTTAATAGTTGTGTAGAATTATTTTAGTATTGTTCTTTACATTTATTAACATATTATTTTCTAGATAGATCGGGAAACAAGTAGAGGGGGTGGACTTCGCTTTCCCTGTAAGTAATAGAAACATGGCGTGAATGTTGAGAAATGGTTATTCTGGACATTAACGACCTAATGTTGATTTTTTTTTAAATTCATAATATGGCTTGATAATGGATATGGCAGTGGATAACGAACATTTTTTTGGGTGACATGAGCTTGAGTAAATACAAATGGAAGATGAGGAGTAATCAAACATATGGAGAATTAAGAAATGGTTACATTTATGGAGGAAGTCATTATGCTTAAATGTTATGTAAACAATTTTTTTGTAATTGAGAGGATGAAATGATAAAGGAGAGGCATATAAATGACAATAATGATATTAAATGTATGTGTTCAATGTAACGGTAAAACCAGACTAAACAAACCCATGAATCAACAAAAAAATTGTCTTGATAACGTCTTGATATGGAGTCAAGCACGACTCAAAGAAATGGGATTAGTGCACGTCTTCCTATTGTGACCCTGAGATTTGCATCGTGAGCAAGACTGGCGCTTAGCATGCTCACCTTTGGACAGGATCCTTCGCTTCTTGGGCCTTCCAGGAGGACGTTTATCGCATGATGGTGGGAGGCAAACAACTTCTGCGACCTCATCGGGCACAACCCAAGATTTTTTAGATGGGATGGGGTGTATGATGCCTGAATATGTAGCTCTCCATGCAGTAGTGGTGTAAAAGGATGAGACGTAATCATAGCAAGACAAACCGCTTCGACAACGCGTTGCAGCGACCGCATGAACACACACAAAATGGTCCAGCTGGAATTCACAGCAAGTGCACGTCCTGTTTTGAAAGTTCACTACAAACGAACGACCATTCTTGTCAATGACAAGGAACTCGAATGAACAAGCTGGCCTAACCTGAAAAACCAAAGCAACACCGTTTTGCGCACAGTGAATGATTGAGTTAGACTTTTAAGAGATGTGGTAAGAATAAGGAAAATTGAATGAGTACAGACCTAAAAGCATTTATAATAACAATAGCTTATGATATAAATTTAACTTACTTCCATAACAGCTGAGGCGGAATGTAGTTCATTTAGCTTCGACTCGTAGAACTTTGTTAAAGTAGATGACGTTGAGTTTGCTAAATCCCTACGCTCGTGAAACCACCTTTGAGTCCTTCCAATTAGAAAATCAACAAGTTGTGAAATTGGGTATTCACGGGGGACAGCATCAACATTGTTCATGGACTCTGCAAGGTTAGAGGTCATTATAGAATAACGTTGATTCGAGCATGATTTGGCCCACTTCTCTTTCCCGATAGATTTCAGGTAACGAATGATCCTGGGGTCATCTCTGTCCAAATATTTCAAATATCGGTCGCACTCTACTTCGAAAGCTGCCCTTGCAGCACCATAAAACTTCCAAGATAAGAACTTTTCGGATCCATGGAAATTAGACTTGATGTTTCCAAATATGTGGAATATGCAATTGCCATGGCCCACCTTAGGGTAAACAGATTTAACTGCCTTGATCATTCCATCATGCCTGTCTGAGACGATATATTCCACAGGACGGTGCTTGAGGGCTTGCTTAACTCTTGACAGAAACCAACGCCAATTTGCATCGTTCTCGGCATCACATACACCAAAAGCTAGTGGGAATATTTTGTTATTCCCATCCCGTGTAACGGCAGTTAAAAGTGTCCCTTTGTAATATAACTTCATAAATGACCCATCAATAATTAGCACTGGAACACAATGGGGCCACCCTTCTCTCCAAGGTGCAAGAGATATGAATAAGTACTTGAACAAGTGGTCAGGCGTAGTAGTGAGTTTGATCATAGAACCAGAATTAGCTTTTTTCAGCATAAAACACATGGATGGCAAAGAAGCATAAGAATCTTGTACTGTCCCAAAACAAATTTCCAGGGCCTTCTCCTTTGCAAACCACGCCTTCTTATAAGTCATTGCAATTCCGTGCTCCCTACGCATGTCGCTGAGAATAGAAATGTGGGGGTACGGCTTCGTTATTGCATAACAAAATTTGTGTTTTACAAGCTCAGCAACAATGTGATACGTAGCTTGACGTGTTGTGCCTTGTCGAGCATCAATAGGGCATTGATGTTCATGGTTGTACCTGTCAAAAAAACATATGAAGAATACTAGTAAGTTTTAAAACATGTTTGGTTAAGGACAGATATTAGTATGTAAAGAGGTGAGGTTTGGTGCCTAAAAGAGCATAATGTTGTGATTAGGACGTTGTTTGAAATTAAAGCTTAACACATAATGTCCTTAACAGGGCATAATGTCCTCATTATGTTATTCCTATTCAGTTTAAAAGCTAATGTCCTTAACATAATGTCCTGTTTAGGACATAGTAAGAACGTAAAAGAGCATAATGTCCTAGTGAGGACGTTAGTAAGAATGTGAAGTTTAATACATGAAGTTATTAACAGGGCATAATGCCCTCATTATGTTATTCTTAGTCAGTAAAAAAACTAAAGTGTGATAGATAGGGGAGGATACAGTAGTGAATAGTGTGTAAAGAGCTAAGCTTTGATACATAATGGAACATAATGTCCTGATTTGGACATAACGAGAGAAAGGCATTAACAGATATGAATGTGTAGTAGTCTTTAACAATGATTGTAAAGGGACTTACTACGTCAGTCATAGTCAGTAAAATGTAAAGCTTCTAAGGTAACAGAGCATAATGTCCTGATAGAAATGTAATGTGATTAAGACGATATGAGTTTAAGGCATTAAGTTATGGCATTTTTTCAAGCAGTAACAGGAAGTTGACAGGGGCCTACGACATCATTGTTAGTCAGTAAAAAGGAGAAGTTTGATAAAGAACACTTCATAATGTCCTCATTAACTAGAATTGGATACGGACGTACAAGTGGTACAACGACATTCTTAGTAAATAGAAAGCTAAAGTGTGTTAAATAAAAGATTATAATAACCTGATTATGGAGTGATCTGATTAAGGAATAATCTGATCAAGGCATTAACATTGTGCATAGTTTTCAGTCATTAAAATGGATTGGAAACGGACCAGGAACGTAATCCTTAGGCAGTAAAAGCTAAAGTTTGTTACATATGATACGAGTGAGGGTCTTAACAAGCATGCATTGTGTAAGGTGTGGAAATGTATAAGACGCCATTAATAAGTGGAAATCAATACGCATAAAATAAACATTATTGAAGAACAATGCAAAGACATTAAAAAGGGCTGGGATCGCACCTACGGATCTGGAACATCTCAACGCCTGGTAAACGCACTGCCCGAACAGCCCATGTGCAACGAGGAAAATCCACACAGACAACATGAAGACACGATTTTTTTGAGGTTCGAATCCGGTACTGGAACTGGTTAGAGATTGCTAACATCTTCAAATGGATGTCGAGGTCCTTTTTGCTGGCATAAATGGCATCAACAGCAATTCTAGTTGGATCGAACCGAGATGTAACATACATCTCCTTCATTGTTGCAATCTCCTGCTGAGACATTCTATAAGAAGACGGGTTGGATTGAAGATAGTTATTGCCGTCAAGCTCGCTGGTTTGGACATTATTCTCAGGTATTTCATCTACCCTAAATGTTTCGAATACCAAGCCAGGGGAAAATTGCTGGATTGGTATATAGTCTTCATCCAAAGTGCACATTCTTCGGTTTTCTTCTAAATCAGAGAGAGAGGCGTCTGATTCAGTAACTTCGCAGTCGCTTGAATTGGAGATGGAATGAAGACAAAGGAGAGGCTGATGTAACTCCGAAAGGACTAAACCTCCTCCAGAAACGATAGATGCTGAAAAATTAGTTAATTCAACACACAAGGGAAAATCGCGTACCCCACAGTGAATGCTCTTCAACCGAATATATGCGTAAAGGCTCGTATCATTGTCGATCACAACATGACTTGAACATGAATCAGAGACGTGTGAAATCTTAAAAACAGACTTTTCATAGGATGATGGGACCGTATTACGAATCACCTGTATCAAGTCAGTGAATGATGCGTGATGCGGAATCTGAATCTCATATGCGTATGTGTAGGAGAATACGCCATGAATGTCCCATTTGCCGTCGAATTGGAGCAGATAATGGATGGCAGCCGGTGTGGAGAAATCTGGGACAATGCTAGATACAGAGGCCAGCAATGAAGAGAACATGTTGTTGCGCTACTGGGATGGGCGGAAGAATTTGATACTGGCCGGAAGAAATGTAGGAGACGGAAACCTAAATCCATGGGGAGTTACAGAACTGGAGCGTAAATGAAAGGATAAGGGCTAGAAAGTGGGGGAAATTATTAATAGTTATCCTGTAAATATGCCAAGGAAATTAAAAAAAAAACAAAAAGAAAAAACCCTGCATTTTCGATCCAGAAGGGTAGAACCGGATGCACGCCCAAAAGTAACTCCTATCTAAGTGAAAAAAAGATACAAGTCCTATTTAGGGAAAACACATATGTTTGGGTCCTATATGGAACAAATTTTACATGATAGAAGATTCAGTGCATATGGATTAGGATTCGGGCTCGAATGGTTGAATAATGAGTCACAAGCACTTCACTTACAAAATATTTGTGCACCTCACTCTCACTAAGAGGAGTGTATTCAATATGGAATTTGATGGATTGTTTTAGATTTTAAAAGTCAACAGGTATTCAATTGAGATTTTAAAACAATCATTTAAAATCTACATGTATTCGATTTAGATTTTAAAGAATCTTTCTAAATCTAATGGTATTAAAAAATTGATATATTATTTTATAAAACATGGATTTTGAGAGGTTGTTGGGTGGGAGTATAAATAAAAATCCACCTTACAAATCCTACGTAAAAGCTAACACTATTTTTGTTTGGGGGTAGGGGAGGGAGAGAGAGGTAGATTAAATTTTCTACCTTGTTTGGTAACAAAAATTGAAATAGGGGGGTAGGGAGAAGTAGGGTTACCTCTGAACAGTGTATTTTGATGACCGTTAATTTGGTAACATCGAGGTAATAAATTCTATTTCCTGCAGCTATCCTTCACTACCCAAATCGCCGTACCCCATAGAAAACCAATAGCCATCTTCACATTACCATCATCGTCTTCCGATTGCCATCTCCAACCAGACCAGTATTCTGATTTTTGCACTTCAATTTTTAATTTTTTTCGTATGGTTCTACTCTGCTTTGCGTTGGCCAGATTTGTTCTGCACAATACCATACTTCCTTCAATTTTGCTTGAATCACTTTTACAATTAAAAACAAAATTGTAAGAAGCAAAAAAAAAGTGAAGTCAAATTGAGGTTCAACCGCCCAGATTTTCGCAATACCATGCTTCCTTCATACCAGATTTTGTTTTTTTTTGTGTCCTTTTTTTCAATTTTCATTTCACTATTTTTTTCCGTTTTTTTGTGGTTTTTATGTTCTTTTTTTTGTGTTTTTTTCTGGTAATTTTTTCTACAATTTTGCATTTTTGAGTCCATCTGTTATAACACACAGCGTTTATATCACGGATTTTTTAGAACGGATTGTGTTTACTTTGCTTTGGATTACCTAGCAAATAAAGAAAATATCACAAGGATATTTTAGTAATTTTATTTTTTCCCTACCTCACGTTTCATAATAAACATCCATACATAATTTTTTTAACTCATTGCCTCTATTACTACTACGACGATTGTGTGATTTCTCGATCTGGTCCAGCGCAGGGTTCTTCATCTTCTCCGCCATTAGATTCCCAGATCTTCTCCTCCTGCGCGCGGCTCTTCATCATCTCCGTCCTTGTTCTTCATTTCTCCAATCGATCTAAGTGCTTGACTCCGTCACTACTCCTCGTTTTTCCAATCCATTCACTTTGTCACTCCGATAATGAGGTAAGGTCTTTTTATCTTCAAGATCTTGATTAATGATGTTGTGTGAATTATCTCTTTCCGTATTTTCTCCTTTTTTTTGCATGATTTTCTCTATTTATTCAATTTCTTGAAAATGGTTTGAAGTCTTCCGGAAATCAAAGAATTTTTTGTATTTTTGTTTGAATTTAGACCAAAGGGTACCTTTCCAGGGTTGCACATCCAAACGAATTTTACCAATCAATGCCCTATGAACCTCAGTGATGTAAATCCCTAGCATTTAGCACTCCCACAAAATGTCTCCAAGCTTCCTTTTATGATATTGAGGTGGCCTCTGAATCCCACAAAAACACTCCACATGGCCTATTAATCTTAGAAATAATTGTTGCAGGCTGGGTTGCAGGGATATAGAAAATAGTTAGTTCAGGTCTGTTCCACAGTTTGCTTATATGCAGGTTATATTTCTACTTGTGATTTAAAATTATACTCCAGTGAAATGCATAATGATTTAAAATGTTCACAGATACATAAAATATGAAAATTCAAACCATATTGTTTATGCCAAGAAGAAACAAGTGCATACACAAAAGAAGAGGTCGATATGCTCACCTGCAAATTTACCTCATAGGCTCATTTTAAGCATATATAGTTTTAACTGAAAAGCATTTTTAGTTACCTCACAGGCCATTTTGCAATTCATTAGAGCTTTTAGAGGGTGCCATTTTGCAATTCGTTAAAGCTTTTTTTTTTTATAACCAATTGGTTAAAGCTTTCTTAACTTCTTAAAAAAGAACATGAATAGACTATTTTACCCCTCTCTCAACTCTCTCAACCTGCTTCTCATCTTTCCCTCTTACCATACATTATCTTCTTCATCCCTCACCATCGCAATATCTCCATCTCCTTCTCTCTTCCCTCCCTATCGAAATCTAAACTTAACCCTATTCGTCTCTCTTCGGCTCCCCCCCCTCAAAGTTTAGATCCAATCTTCTTCTTTCTATCTTAATATCTAGATCTTATCATTTCTCTTCCTCAAAACCTAGATCTAATCTTTTGTTCGAAAACCCAACAGCCGAGATATTGAGCAGTAGAAGAGAGCAGAAAAAATTGAGGTTGGAGACGAAGCAATTGGACACTGCAAGAGCATAAGGGCGATGATATTGCTGCAATAAGGCACTTAATTGCTCAATGCACTTGAAGAGGAAGCAAATCCGCCTTCTGGTACTTGGCTCTTCCTTTTCCTTTTTGTACATGGTTTTTTTTCTGATTCTTCGTTCAGTTGCAAGGACCAATTTCATAATTCATTTTATTTAAATTTGTTTAGCTGCTATTTTATTTTTTTATTTTGTTTTAGAACCTAATGTTGATTCATGCCTCCGTAAATTTTGTTTTAATATAGAACCTAATTCATTTTTATTTTGTTTTAGAACCATGCCTCCGTGAAAGAAGGCCAGTGATTTTTGTTCCCAGGAGAGTAGGCAAGTCTCGATCCAGCATTAAGAGGGGAAAGAAGGATTTAGGGGGTATTTTGGGAAAGTCAACCCATTTTTTACACTCGCTTAAAAACCACCTCCAGTCAAACCGGGAAGATGGTTTTAGGACGGAGGGAGTAATTAAAAAGTAAACATTAAAATACACAAATGGTAAGTTTGTGTATTTTGTGACTGAAATGTTTGTGACTCTAGCATTTCTCTTAAATAGACAGTTGTTTGGGGTTCTCTCAAAACATCATTACTCTCGCATTAGGTAATGTATTTAGGCGGTTAACAATAAATAATAATTTTAACCAAAAGTTAATTTTATAAAGCAACATTTCCCAATATCAATTAAATGAATAGCTTTTTGGAAAGCCGTGAAAAAATTCATTTCTCTCACAGCAACTCTTCCAAATCCGAGAAACTGCCAACCTTGAATTCCATATTGAAACTGCTGCTGCTTTCTCTTATAACCTGCTGTGCTTTAGGGCATTCCCAAAATAGGTGAGTGTCATTCTCTTCACTTTGTCCACACAATATACAGCTCGTGTCCACGTTTATGTATCTTGATATTCTAGCTTTTGTTTGCAGTCTTCCTCTCATCATAAGCCACACCACAAACTTGAATTTTGGTGGGGTCATTTTGTTCCAAACATAATCTATCCAGCCTACTGTTCTCCCTTCCCCCTGCAGCCGGTGGTACCCTTTCATGATATTAAACTTTTCTCCCCTGGGCATATCTCTAAAATGTTCCCTCACTTTCACCATTGCCCTCCAATAATAGCATGAATCCAGTTTTGGGATGTATTCCCAAAAGTCTCCTCCTTTGATGTATCTACTGTGTATCCACTTCACCCACAGGATATCCTTCTTCTCAGCAATATCCCAGTTTAGTTTCATTATAAAAGCCTTATTCCAATTGATAATATTCTTAATCCCAAGGCCTCCATACTTCTTCGACTGACATACATCATCCCATCTCACAAGAGGTACCTTCTTATATTTATCAGAACTTCCCCACAAAAAGTTTCTGCATATGGCCATCAGTTTCTCCAAAATCTGTTTGGGCAGAATGAACATTCTTGACTAGAAGGACACAATACCCATCAAAACAGAGTTAATAATTCTCACTCTAGCAATGTAAGAGAAATGCTTAGTGCCCCAAGTTGTTATCTTACTGGTGAGCTTATCAATCAGTCTATCACAATCACACTGTTTCATCCTGGCAGTAGTTATGGGGCTCCCCAAATAAGTGAGAGAAAATTTACCCATTTTCATACTTGTTAAGGCCAGTAACTCTTCTTTCAGTTTCTGCTTAGTCCCTCCACACACTATTTGTGATTTATTTTTATTGATTCTCAGACCTGTTGCACCTTTAAACTCTTTTAACACTTTCATAATGCAGGCCAGTGAGTTATGGTCAGCCTTACTGACCACTATTAAGTCATCTGCAAAACATAAGTTAATGATTTTCAATTGGCTGCACATTGGATGGAACCTAAACCCAACTTTCTGTTTTGCTGCTACTTGGAAGCTCCTGGTCAGATATTCCATCACTAGCACAAATAACAGGGGAGAGATTGGATCTCCTTGCCTCAGGCCCTTAGCTGCCTTGATATACCCATAATATCCCCCGTTAATTTTAATGGAATATGCTGGAGTTGTTACACAGAACATAATCCATTCAATGAATTGTTCAGGGAACTTAAGATAGTAGAGAATTTCCTTGAGTGCTCCCCAACTTATTGAGTCGTAAGCCTTTTGGAGATCTAGCTTCATCATACACCTCGGAGTATAGTTCTTCCTGTTATAGCCTTTTGCTATCTCCTGGCACATTAATACATTATGTATTAGCTCTCTGCCTTGGACAAAAGCTCCTTGGTTAAGATCCACTATGTGATGCAATACTTCCTTTAGGCGTAGACAGATCAACTTTGAGATGATTTTATAGATTGTTTTGCAGCAATCAATTAGCCTGTACTCAGTTGGGTTCTTAGGATCAGAAACCTTGGGGAGTACAGATAATAGTGTGGCATTTATCTGAACCAGCGTCTTACCTTCCTTGAAAAAATCTAATACAGCTCTAGTTGTTAATTCTCCCACTACAGACCATTGCCCTTTGAAGAAACCACTCCAATATCCATCAGGTCCAGGATTTTTAGCATTAGGGATGGAGAAGACAGCATCTTTCACTTGTTTGTCACTAAATGGCCTTATGAGTTCCAGTTGCTGTTCAATGTTCAGGACTCTTCCACTTCTTATAATGTTGGCATCAATTCCTGTGGTAGCTGTTTTGCACCCCAGTAACCCAGAGTAGTATTTCACAAACACTTCAACTATATGTTCTGTCCCTTCAACATTTTCTCCCTTCTTATTTTGGACTGCTAATATTTGGTTCTGCATATTTCTTTTCTTTAGCCATGCATAAAACAATCTAGGTCCCTTGTCCCCTTCAGTTACCCATTCTTGTTTACTTTGTTGACACTTCAATATGTATGAGGCTCTGATTGTTTTACGAAGTTTGTCAATCAAATTCCTTTCCTTAAGGAACATTTCATGGGTCATTGGAGCTTGCTTGATCTTCTGTTGGAATTCAAGTAATTCTTCCCTTGCATCATTAGCTTGTTTATGAATCCCTCTATATCTTTTGTTATGTAGTTTTCGCGAAGGTTCTTTTAACCTCTTCAGGTTTGTAACCAACTGATACATATTCCAGTTATGGTTGTCCCGTCTCCATTATTGCTCCATAATCTCTGACAATCCACTATCTTCCAGCCACATATTGCACAATGTGAAAGCTTTGGTCTGCTTTATTTGAACTAGTACTAGTAACTAAAAGGGGGGTGTGGTCTGATACCCCCTCACTTAGTATTCTAGTTTTAGTTCGTAACATTGTCATCCAACCATCGTTGGATAATGCTCTATCCAGTTTGGACCAGATCCTTTTCCCCGGCCCCTGTTTGTTAGTCCAAGTGTAGTAAGACCCCACAAATGGGATTTCTTCCAGGCCACATTCCATTACACAGTCTCTGAAATCCTTCATTTCTTCTTATGCCACTGGACATCCTCCCTCTCTGTCTCTGCAACTCAGTGGTGCATTGAAATCTCCAATACAACACCAGGCCCGTTCATCCTCTGTTAATCTCTCCCATAACTGACTCCTGCTTGTTTGGTCATTAAAAGCATAGATAAATGTTATCCAGTAATACTTAGTAGTATCCAGATCCCTCACTTTGCAGTGGACAGTTTGTGCTGTCCAAAAATTTACCGAAACCAAAACTGAACCATCACAAACCATATCGAACCATAAAAGAAGGGGAGCCTGTTGAAGAAGAAGAACAAGCTCAGGATCGCTCCCTCTGCTCTGAGGATGCTGAGTTCCGTGAAGAATTGACCGGATGGGAGGAGGTTGAAGGGGAAGACGATGCTTCTTCCTCTTCTTCTTCATCCTTCTTCACAATAGTTTCTGGAGGCATAGATGAAGGGGAGGCCGTTGAAGAAGAAGACGTGGAGGAGGAGATGAGGTGGATCCCCATCTATGAGCAAGTGAACGGAGAAATGGTTGAACTCGCCCGATTTCCGTTGCAGCAGCAAGCTGGATACTCATCTTTTGCCACTACGGTGAGAGAGGCGTATCCAGATCCAATTGGGCCGGGGATTGCACATGTCCTTTGGCCATGATGACCGGAGTTCACTAGTGCGGTGTATCATTCCGGTGAAGGCCTTGTCATCAATCCGCTAGAGAATAGATGGACGGAATTTAGGGGGATGCTCCATCATGTGATAGTCCACCGGAAACGTCCATCCACAATCATCAACCTCTCCATTGCCGACGATGATGGCGTCATCACCCAGATGCCGATTCCAACGAATGAGATCTTATCTCTCCTGCGTCTGGCCGTAGTCATCCACTTCTATTATGCGTCTTACTTATTACCTAAAAGCCGAGCCGTTTGATAACGGCAAAATGTCTCATAACCCTTGGCATATGAATCTTCTCCACTACTTTGACGCCAATGGCCAACAGATGCAACACCCATTCCCACTGTTGAGAGATGAAGGTGAAGATGATGGTGAGTTGGATGTATATGATGATGAGGATGATGACGAGGATGATGACGGGGAAGGAGATGATGATGACCTTCTTGACCCTTTTGATATTGATGAGACTCCGTACCGGCTCCATCCAGATTATATCCCCCGATGGCAAGACTTTTGGTTTCGGCTCCACAGAATCATTGTGGTTGCACTAGAAATCAAGTAATTAGCTTGGTTTTGGGATTGGACTTAGCTTTTGGGAATGACTCTTTCCTCTCTTTTTAATACCAAATTACCATCAAAATAAAAATATACTCTGTTCCAAAACCTTCCATTATACTCTATTTAAATATGGAGTATGTGTAATGTGTATTGATGAAATTATCTATCAAAACTTAAATCCAAAAAAAATAACAAAATTAAAATCCAAGAAATGCATCTAGAATCCAAGAAATTTCTCTTTTGTTTATTGGATTCTAGATGCATTTCTTGGATTTTAATTTTGTTATTTTTTTTGGATTTAAGTTTTGATAGATAATTTCATCAATACACATTACACATGCTTCATATTTAAATAGAGTATAATGGAAGGTTTTGGAATAGGTATATTTTTATTTTGATGGTAATTTGGTATTAAAAAGAGAGGAAAGAGTCATTCTCAAAAGCTAAGTCCAATCCCAAAATCAAGCTAACTACTGGATTTCTAGTGCAACCACAATGATTCTGTGGAGCCGAAACCAAAAGTCTTGTCATCGGGGGATATAATCTGTATGGAGCCGGTACGGAGTCTCATCAATGTCAAAAGGGTCAAGAAGGTCGTCATCATTACCTTCCCCGTCATCATCCTCGTCATCATATACATCCAACTCACCTTCATCTCTCAACAGTGTGTGTTGCATCCGTTGGCCATTGGCGTCAAAGTAGTGAAGAAGACTCATATGCCAAGGGTTATGAGACATTTTACCATTATCAAACGGCTCGGCTTTTAGGTAAGACGCTGAATAGAAGTGGATGACTACGGCAGACGCAGGGGAGATAAAATCTCATTCGTTGGAATCGGCATCTGGGTGATGACGCCATCATCGTCGGTAATGGAGAGGTTGATGATTCTAGATGGACGTTCCCGGTGGACTATCACATGATGGAGCATCCCCCTAAATTCCGTCCATCTATTCTCTAGCGGATTGATGACAAAGCCTTCACCGGAATGATACACTGCACCAGTGAACTCCGGCAACCATGGCAAAAGAACATGTGCAATCCCCGGCCCAATTGGATCTGGATACGCCTCTCTCATCGTAGTGGCGAAAGAGGAGTATCCAGCTTTCCGCTGCAACGGAAATCGGGCGAGTTCAACCATTTCCCCGTTCACTTGCTCATAGATGGGGATCCACGTCTTCTTCTTCAACGGCCTCCCCTTCTTTTATGCCGCCAGAAACTATAGTGAAGAAGAGGAAGAAGCATCGTCTTCCCCTTCAACTCCTCCCATCCGGTCAATTCTTCACGGAACTAAGCATCCTCAGGGTGGAGGGATCGATCCTGAGCTCGTTCTTCTTCCACAGGCTCCCCTTCTTCAATGGTTCGTGATGGTTCAGTTTTGGTTTCGGTAAATTTTGGAATGAATATATATATACATACATATATGTGTGTGCGTATATATTATTGATGTTGCAGACTTAATGTTAAAAGTTGTATGGAGTACTAGTCAAGAGACAGAAAATGATACGGAATATTAATCCTTTCTCCAAGTTATCGTCTTGTCAAACATTACACAAATCTGAATTTGCATCCTATTTTGAAGAATTTATGTGCTTTTTTTCGTTCGTTGCATTTAGACCTGTGCAAATAAGGATCCGGGCCGGATCTGGGTCGGGCTTGATACAAATTATTAGCCCATTTGCATTGGCGGCCTTGGCCCGGCCCGGATTTGATGGGCTAAACTCTTTACCCATACCCGCCCACTTTAGCGGGCCGAACTGCCCACCGGGCCGCTCGGCCCAGATAAAACATCAAGTAAATCTTTTTTACACAAAAAAAGAAAAATATTGAACTCCTTTTCAAATGTTTAAAATAAAATTACCACTCGCCACATTTACATAGCAAACATAATAAAAATATTGTTGCATAATTAATAAACCAATCATACAGATTCATTAAAACACTATTGATTTTTGTTTAAGAGCGGTGGCCGGTGAGTGATATGAACTATTATATATGAATTAAAGAAAATTTTAAAATTTATAATGTCTAGATAATTAATAATAAAGTAAATGTATTTAATGAATATGGGCGGACCTATTGGCCCGGATGGGCTAAAAGTAATTTCCAAATCCGCCCAAATACAATTCGGGCTTGGGCCGGCCTGCCCATATGGGTATTAAAGATTGTCCATATCCGCACATTTTAAAGGGCGGGCCGGACGGGCCGACCCTTGTTTGCACAGGTCTAGTTGCATTGTTGTTATTTTTTAGTTGAACCAAACATGATTGAATATACACTTATATAAATTTATCATCTTGGTTCTTATTTGTTGTTTCTTTCTATTACTATCTCTTGAAGCATTTTACCTCATCATGAAGCACACTCACAGTGTAATCGCCTACCAGTTCTCATGATTTTCTCTTTGCTTCTTATCCACAACTATTGATAGTTTTCTAATTATTTGTAATGTTTGCAGGCCCCAAAGATATAAAAGACATTTTCTCTTCTTTAAAAGACAATGGAGTGGAACTTAATTGCAACACTGATACCATAAAACCTCAGGTTTTGCTAATTATACATAGTATTGTGATGCTAAAATAAGTTGATCTCATTTCAAGGTATTGTGTAGTAGTTGCAAGGAGCAGTGAAAGCTTCAGTAATTTTTTGTTGGCTTTGCAATTAACACTTGAGCATGGACTTGTTTGATGGAATGGAACATGGAGCTATTTTATAAAATGGAGCAAGGAGTTGTTAGATGGAATGGAATAGGGAATTGATAGCCTGAATATACCATTTTTCATTTTTGAGTGCTCTAGGTAGTTTTCCTCTTTTAGGGTCATCTTCTTCCGTTCACTATATTTCACTCTTTTTATATGTATTTTACGGAGTATTAAATAAAGCTAATAATGTGCCAAAGGTATTTGTTTATAAGTATATAAAAGTACTAGATGTCATGCAATTGTTTCTTGCACATCTTTGTGGTGGGTTGGTGTTAGGGGTGAAACGGGGGTCTTATTAAGTTGATAATTTAGTGGCGGATTTGCGGAGGAAAATGGAAGGGAAATAGTGGGCAAACGTATGGATGGTGTTTTAGGAGTTCTTTTTGGTATTTTATGGAAGAAAAGAATAGGGTTAAGAAGGAGAAATGGAGGGATATGAAATGGAAGAAAAATCAGGGATGGATAAAACCAAGTTGGTGTTAAGAGATATTACACACTCTTATCCNAAAAATGAGTGCAAATAAGGCGCTACTCCTCAAAAAAACTTTTTGGGCAGGGTGGGGAGGTCGGTTTAGGTTGGGCCGGGTGAAGGGGGGGTGGGGGTTTACCGGGGGTGCTTGAGGGATAAGAACTATTAATTTGAATGGAGTTTCTCATTCATGGACGTTGATAAGATATGTGTTCCAATTGAGGCTCATATCATAGAATGACATGAGAGACTAATGTCACGCAAATCTCATCGTAGATTTGTGATTGCATTTATAATCATGTTTACTTTATGTACTATCTTAAAAGTTGTCGAATAAAAGTTTGAAGAAATTTTCATCCATTGAATCTATATTATTGATATTTTATATTAAAAATATAATTTTGTGCATCTCTATATCTAATGAGTTATTCCGTATGATATTTCCTTTATTTATATTTTTTAGCAATGCACAACAGTTAATAATTATTATTTTTATTTCAATAAATTTTTTATACGTGGTAATAACACTTTTTAATGAATTTGTAACTTCATTTTCTGGCCGTGCAACGCACGGGTACGAGTCTAGTATATATACAATGATGTGAGGGCATTTGCTACAGTGTTCCCGCCAAAATGTCTTGCGCAGAATTGGGCTACCTTATTGGGCTTCTCCGTGATTAGGCTGCTGCGTCTGGCCCAAATAAGCTTCCTTTGCATATGTAGTGAATTTCTTGAATACTTTGAGCACCTTTCTAGGGAAGAGTATTCATGCTTTACACCACATAAATTATTACTTTTATTGGTAACTTAAACTAACTTTATTAACATGTCAATTCAAAGATAATCAATCACTTTATTTCATTTCCAAATTAAAAAAAATATATTTTCGAAATCTTTAAAGTTGGATGCTATTTAATGCATTACTTGAGTTGTGCCTAATTTCAATTGTATTTATAGAGCTTTATCTTGCAATGTCATAGCACCTCATCTTGCACGGTAAAGAGTGTAGAGATGTCCAAAACGACCCAAAAGGTGATGTGGAATTTTCTAGACAACATTGACAATACTCGCAATTCATGGATACTCAAGTTGCGGGCTATACGCGTTTACTACGTACCCGCCTGGGCCAAGGGAGATGATTCCATGGAAGTAATCTTCCATGACGAACATGTACTTTCTTCTTTCGAGTTCTATTTTTAGATATTCACGGTATTCCATTCATACTTTCTAATTGTTTTTATTTAACTAATTCTTATCCTTTCTAGCAGGGTACAAAGATTCATGCTCATATCAAAAAACCCGAAAAAAAGAAATTTGAAAACCAAATTGTGGAAGGCGGTGTCTTTGCGATTCAAAATGTTTTTGTTTATGACAATTACCAGTCATGCAAGACAACCTCTCACAAATCTTTGTTGGTGTTTTACCAAAAAACAAAAGTTAAAACTCTGAGCGAACATGACTTTCCCAAAATTCAGTTCGATTTGAAATCTTTTTCAAGCATTGAAGCGCAGCCCTGCTTAAACGATAAACTTCTCATCGGTAAATACATTTTTTTCGAATTGATTATTAACGCTTTAAAAGTATCACAAACAGTGAGCATATAATAAGAAAGAAAAACTTATCCGATCGGTGCAGATGTGATTGGAAAAATTGTGGGGCGTTCGAAAGTTCAAACACACATCAAAAGAGGTGAAGAAGAGAAACTAATGGAGATCACACTTGAGGATCATGAGTATGAAAATTTATTTATAAAGCAAATACAAGAGATAAACTGTTGGAAAAAATAATAAGATAGTAAAATAAAATTTGAGAGGCAACCGTATGGCATGCACCCTATGGGGTGAATATGTGGAGAAGTTCCTAGATTGTTTGACCCAAGATGTTCTGGAACCTTTCATTTTGCTCCTGAGTTTTTGTCGAGTGAGGCGGTACATGCGTAAGAATATAATCTTAAAGCGTGTTTCTTATAAGATTCATTTCTCTATTTATAACTTTATATACAATAATTCGAAGAAAAAAATTAACTTACATTTTCTTCTCAGGTGTTGTGACGGTTTCAACCGCATTTCATGTTACGAAGATGATTTTTGATGGCAACTCCGATGAAGTTAATCATTTCCGTGCAAGGTGCGATTTCAAAAATATTTTTTTTGTGTTTTTGGGAAGAATTTACTCGTGAGTTGTAGGGATTTCGAAAAATAGTGTAAGACTAAGAAGTTTTGCTATTCGCTCATAAGATTAATTTTTGAACAGTTTGCCGATGCAAGTTGATGAAGTTAGTGCTTCCACCACTTTGATGTTACTTGGGGGAAATGAAGATGATGTTGGTGTTGTGAAGATAACTGCCCTAAAGACTCTACTTGACACAACAAAGGTAAAATATGAATTTTAAGATTATAAACATTTAGTATTCTGTCCTTTCAAAATTTATACATAAATCTCTATGTATTTAAATAGCCTGGAGCTTATTATATTCTGGCCGAGATTTCTTCTATTGAGAATACATCGGATTGGTGTTATTTGGGGTGCACTGAATGCAATAAGAAGGTTATCCGTGACCACTCTCAGTTTCGATGTTCTGGATGTGATATCACTATGGCCCATGGAATGTATAAGTACATATTATTTCTAAGTTTTCATCTTCCCGTATAAACTGACTTCTGTAAACATACATGAGAGGACTAATGCACTTTAATCATATTACGAGCAGGTTTAAGGTGAATGTGCATGTGTTTGATGCCAATGGCCACGCCTCTTTTGTTCTTTGGGATAGGGAGTGAAAGGAGATTTTAGGTGCAAGTGCGTACCTGCTTAGAGAGCTTATGGTTGAGGTTAGTAAGAGTTAATGTGAATTCATTTTCTTTTGTATTTCCTAGAACCGAAATATTATGAACTAAATTCTTATAATTTATTGCCTAACAGAGAAAGATGGACCCAAATTTATTTCGTGCGGAGTTGAATCATTTAATTGGTCGGAAGGGTTTGTTCAATGTGGTGGTGAAGTCTGAAGGTGGGAGTCCACACTGGACGGGCCCTAGGAGTTTTGGTGTTCGATCTTTCATTGCCGATCCTAGAATTCTCAAGAAGTATGAACATTTGGTTGAAGAAGTGGTTGAAGAACCTGTCGAAGATGAGACTGAAGATTTGTGGAACTCCCTAGAGGACCTAAGCCAGAAAGTTGGAGAAGTGGTCTCCAATTCCCTATTCAATTTGTTATACGTGATAATGAAGGCAAATCAATTTCTTTACTTAATATTAACTTTTTTTCCTAGATTGGTTCAAATAACCCAAGTTCAAGCCAGGCTGAGGCCACTTCCCGGCGGAAGATTGATGCGATTGAGAGCGGGGATCCCATCAAGCGGCAGCTCCTAGATGAGTTATCCACCACAACCCAGACTAAGAAGGTCAAGAGAGGGGGTTCGAAAATGTGAGGAGAATCATGGAATGGAAACAAATGAAGCAACTTCATGGATAAAGAGCCCTATGTTTTTGAATTCTCAATTTAGAACATGATGTTTTTGGTTTTTGTTTACCGCTTTATTAATCATGTTAAACACTGCCCTAGGGCCTATTGCTTATCATTTCCTATGTTTTATTGAACTATCTTTTGATGCTAAGTGTGTTTTCTCTATTAAAAGGTTTTGTGCTTATAATGACCTCAATATTATTATACACTATACACACACATTCAGACTTGCATCGGCAATTTGTAAAGGAAAAAACTCTAATTCAAGATGAAGTTAAAAAAAATTATAACCGTAGCAAAAACAGCATGAAAATACTTCTCAGTTTGACTTGGCACGGTTTTTGATGTAATGCTAAAATTGCTTTAACTTTCCACATTTTCCCTTTTGTTTTTATCCTTTCAACCCCACATCACCCTGCAAAGTTTCATTCTCAAACCCACCCACCCACCCCTGCAAATCCACCGACTCCATTCTTGCCATCTCCGTTTTTGAAGAGATTGGGCTCAAAATCACCTCATCGCCCGAAAGCTTTTCCGTTACCACTGCCACCTGATCGTGAAAGCTTTGTCCGAGGAAGAAGGTGAATAGGAGCCAGATCTGTAGGTTTTCTAGCTGGATCTTGCTAAAAAGGAAATTAAAACCATTTCACAGTGAAAGGACGGACTGGATTTAGTGCCCGGATGATGGAGGAACGAACTTCTATATCAGAATCCTTTGAGCCACTACATGAGGCCAACGCCGGCGAAGAAAAAGAGGGGGGTGATGCTGAAGATGTGCGGTGGGGGTGGGCGTTGATGAACACAGGTTAAGAAGAAGAAGAAGAAGGTGTGCGGGTGGAGGGGGTGGTTGAAGAAGGAAAGAAAAACTGAAAAAGAAAAGAAAAAGAAAAGAAGAAAAAGGGGAATGGTGGGGTGGGTTGGTCTGATCGAGAACAAAGAAAAGAGGACAGACGAGTTGTGGAAGAGAGAAAAAGAATAAAGGAAGAAAGGGTAAATTAGTAACTCTAAAGAAATTTTAACTCTATTTTAGGAAACGGGAAGAATCAAGTGGGACGACTTAAAAAGGAAAGTGAGAAGAAAGATATGGGAGGGAGGGAGTACATTATTTGAATAACATTATAAATGCTTACCTACCTCTCACATCTAATGTGTCTTCCAGCTCCCATCTTTTACGAACTAATAACAACAACAATAACACACACAATAATATAAATTATAATATTATTATTTTTGTCTCATAATAGAATCATATACTTGTATATTTGAACCTTAAAATCTAGTCTTCACCATATTTAATGGTCTGTTTAATCGGAAGGTATCCCAATTCCCAAACGAGTTGACTTTGTTAAATTTAGTTAAAACATGTAGAATTTGTGAACTGAACTAGTGGGTGATTTCATTTATACTATACACACACACACACATATACATATATACATACATACATACATACATACATACATATATAATATTATAATAAGACACCATCATCTCAGACAGAGAAGTCGAGTTTCTCACCTTGAGAGGCGAGATCACTAGTCTGCATGCAGAAGTCGTCTCTGTACTGTGCCGTCACAATCTCCTGGAAAAATGTAGGCTGAACTCGGAGTACGGCTAGAGTCTTACTATATATGTAATATTGAGTGATTTAGAGTGCTATGTATGTTGATTTCTTTTCTTTAAACTTTTCAAAGAAAAAAAAGGTGTGCATTAATGTGTAATGGTTTCAAATCTTGCACCCACACCCGAACCTAATTATTTTGGGCCATTCTTTTTGGCAAAGAGGGGGGCATTAATGTGAATTTTCCAAATAACTGGAGGTACCAGTCCTTAATTCCAATTTACCATTTATTTTTATCCTATTTTCTATATTTGTTTGTTTTATTTATCATGGTTTCTTTATTATTTTTAAATTGTTTTTATATTGTTCTTGAATTCAATTTTTTGATTCAATAAAACATACTTAAGATATGGTACACTTTTTTATTATTTTTTTTCCAAAATCTAATAGTAAACCTTTTTTGGGAATTAAAAAAGAGGAACAGAAAAAAATAAACAAAAAATTAAAATGAATATTACTTTTTGGACATTGCAATCCTGATGACTTTCTTAGACATTTCAAAAATTCTTTTATGTATAAGAGTATTTTTTTATGTTTCTAATCTGTCTTTTTTCTTTTCCACTTTTTATTTTTATTTTATTCCGAATTTTCTTTTTTTAACTTCCTATTTTTATTCTAGAAAAAAAAATTAAAAATGTTTAGTTTGAGATAGATGGAGTATATTCCGTTTCTTAATTTGTTTTATTTTAAATTTTAAATAAAAGATTATTAAAAATAGAATTTTAAAAAAACACAAACATTTTTAAATTTTTTAAAAGATTATTAAAAATGAAACACAAACAATTTTGAAGTTTCTAAAAGATTATTAAAAATAGAATAATTTTTTTTAAATTCCTAAAAAAGGAAACAACAAGATGGAAAAAGAAATTAAAAAGGAGAAAAATTAAAATGAACAAGCATGGAGGGTTTTAAAAGTCTACTCTACCCCCTCACTTTACAAAGTCTACTCTACCCCTAATCCTTGGTGCCCCTCCTAAATTGGGTGTTTTAAAAATTAAAACACTCCTTATGGCACACATGGACACATATGTAGGGGTGGACACGGTACCGGTACAATACCGGTAGCGGAAACGGTACCGCCGGTTCCGGTACCGTTACCGCCGGCCGGTACGGTCAACCGGTTCCGAGAACCGGTACAGGTACCGCCCAATCCGGTTCCGGTTCCGGTGCCCATTTTTCGGTACCGGCACCGGCGGTTCCGGTTCCGGTACCGGTACCGTTTTTTTTATTTCATTCTTTTCTTTATCAATTTCATTTTTAGATTTTTTTATTTCACCATTTCCTTTAACAATTACACATTTACAATTTTACATTTTAAAAATATAATAAAAAAGCAAAAAAAACAAAATTAGGGGTGATCGAAACGGTACCGGAACCGGTACGGCCGGTCCGGTACCGGTACCAAGGGGTGGCGGTACCAGAACCGGCGGTTCCGGAACCGGAACCGTACCGTGTCCACCCCTACACATATGTGATATGCCACATCATTTAAGTATGGTCAAATAATTTTTTACTTTGCAATTAGTGCGTGAGATATTTTAGCAAATTACTCCTAATACCCAATTTTCAATTCTTTCTCTCCCACAAGTCACGACATTCCTCTTTCATTTTAAGCATGCCATTTTTCTTGGTTTATATAATGAAATATTTGGATTAAATAGTACTAAAACTTAAGTCATTTTCTTAAATAGTAATTAAATTGTTTTATTTTGTAAATATCACTTAATATTGTCTATAATGTCTAGTGAAGGCGAATACTTACTTGAATAATGACTAATGAATAATGACTAAAAGTGCTACATTGAAAAGAAAAAAATACATATGGTGCTATTTAAAAAAAGTCATTATGTTTTAGTGATATTTAAGTAATTCCACTTATATAATTATTGTTGTTATTGTTATTATTATTATTATTATTATTATTATTTTGTAACATTTTTCTGGTATGATCTAATAACCTGGACTAGAAAAAAAATCAAAAGACTTTTAAAAGAAACAAGTAATATCTAAATATCTAATATGTAAAAAAAAATGTAAAAGAGATCAAATCAGATCAGTTTCATTGAACTCGCATCAAACGAAAAAAAGTGAAAAATAACATTATTATTTTGTCTATAATTAGATAACTATTACTATACCATACAATCAAACCGTGTTAGATTATTTAATGTTTCGTATAATAATTTTTTCCCTAAAATTAATAATTTTTACTATAATACTACATACAATTAAATAAAAGGAATGTTAGATATGATCAAATTGTAGTTCTTATTATTATTATTATTGTCGTAGTAAAAACGCATATTTTAAATATACAAATATATTATTCCTATTTTTGAGTAAAAGTTTATACTTTATTTTTATTTTATATGATTTTGTATGAAAAAAATAAAATAAAAAATTACTAAAGAAACAAGCTAAAAAGTTGACAATTTTATAGAGTTAGGGGGGAAGGCCAATATGGAATTGTAAAAAATTAAAATGGCATGAAAGGGATAGTAGTTAAATCATTATAAGTCCACATGTCAACATATTATCAATAGAGGGGCATCCATTTGTTTGGGCATCAAAGAAACACCGTCTTATTATTGGTAGGGAGTGTTTTAAACCCAAGGATTCGCCGTCACGGTCTCTATTCCTAATCTGAGCCGGTGCTGGGGTAGTCTTGATCGACGGCCCTGTTTTGGGAATCAGACGATTCTTCACCATAATAATCTTTCTTTTCTTCTGGTTCATCTTCAGGAACAAATTCTGGACCATCATACAGCTCTGCGGGATCCAGCTCCAGAGCAGGAGGAGAAGCCGGCACCGGAGGAGAAGCCCGCACCGGAGGAGAAGCAGGGGCCAGAAGAAGGGAGGGAGTCGTCTTGGCCTTCCTGGGGGGTGGGTTGGGTTTGAAGGGGCGGGCCCTCTTCTTGGGGGGAAGCGGAAGACCCAGTGCCTCCAGTTCCAATTCATACCATTCATCCCATTCACTCTCCTTTTTGTCCAGGGTCAGCTTTCCATGTGTTGAATCTTCTGCAGTCTTCTCATCATTTTCCCCCCCTTTTTCTTCTTGTCCACCGGCGGGGTTCATTGCTGCAAATATGGAATCAACACATTTTATTATGAAGGAAAATGTGGAAGGAAAACCACATTTATGGTTATATATTGCATTTTACTTCCCACTTTTTAGAAATATGGCAGCGTAATTCATTAATCTTTAGTTTTGAAGAACCTATAGAAATACATTCAGATTCAAAGAACCAAAAAAGGGAAACCTATTTCTGAAATTCAAATATAGATCGCAATTCACAAAATTCAAATTAGGGGCAAATCATCAAGTAAATAAACACAATCTCTAGTAGAACAAAGAGACCTGTTTTTTAAAAGCCAAACGAAACTGGCCGACCATTGTTTGTGCAGAAATGGACACCAGGAAGCAAGGCAAATGTGAAGGGACTAGAAGACATTTCTATTTGGGTTCAATTCCCAAATTTAGACGTGAAATATTGGACGCTAACTGGACTTAGCAAGCTGGGAAGTCTTATAGGAAAGCCAATCAAAAGGGATAAACCTACAGCAGCGTGTTCTAAATGGGGGGGATATGCTCGTATACTACTGGAAGTACATGCTCGACAGGACTTCCCGAATAGAATCCAATTTGTTGGAGAGGATCAAAGGGTAATTTCTCAAGAAGTGGTATATGAATGGAGACCTGTAATATGCTCACACTGTGATAAATTGGGACATGAAAATGATATGTGTAAGAGGAAAACTACTCAAAATAAAGCACCAATCAAAAGGGTGTGGAGACCCAAAAAGCCTCATCCAGAAAATGATAATGAGCAAATTATTGAGTGGAAGGATAGGGGAGAAGAAATCAGGGACCCTACCTGGCAGAACGAAGAACAGAAAATTGTTGAGGATCAGATGGAGTTCACTATGGTTAGCAAAAAGAACGCGGCAAGGAGAATAACCTTGGATGACACGCACACACACACACACACACACACACACACACATACATACATACATACATACATACATACATACATACATACATACATACATACATACATACATACATACATACATACATACATACATACATATATATATATATATATATATATATATATATACGGCATGACTCCCTCACGAAGAAGCGTAACATATCATAGGGGCATCTGCTAAGTTGCGCCATGGGAGCCCCGACTAACTTGCGCCAACAACGGAGATCGCAGATTCGGTCCGTGATACAACCGCATACGCGGCTATTTCGCGCAAATTAGCAGAGATAGAGAGATGATCGACCATTAAATCCGAGTAGCAGAGCAGATTAAAAGAGGCAATTTGACAAATTTGCCGGAATTCTATTCATCAGCTATCTGAGAGGGAATCAAGAATAAGAACAATAAGACGGCGATAGATATAACCTGCGAGACGAGCTTCTTCTTAAACCCTGAAAATGGCGAATGGCTTCGAGCGAGGAGCGAGAAATGCAACGATCTGACTGTGAACGACAATACGGTTAAATTCACACGCACAAGCGAGCGGGAAGTAAGAATAAGAACATGAGGACAGCCATAGATATAACCTGCGAGACGAGCTTCTTCTTAAACCCTGAAAATGGCCGAATGGCTTCGAGCGAGGAGCGAGGAGCTGTGAAAGAAGAGACGGTTATATATATAACCAAACTCAAGCCAAGAAGCCGCCGACTTAAAGTAACAGACTGAACCGGATAGTTCAACCGATTAAATTAGTATTCCCTAAATTCGCTGTTGGATCCGGTCTGAAATGTTGCTCGGATTAAAATTGATATTGGACCTGGCCGGTCAAAAGTCATGTAACATTATTTTTTATCCTCTAGATCATTGAAATGATCTCATCATGTTACACACCATTTCACTTTAAATGGTGTAACTTTACCAACTTTTCAAGCTAAAAAATGATAATGTAAATCGAAATTGGAATTGGCTATATACGGTGGGTTATTTGGCTTAGCTAGATTTATTTTGAGTTCGAAGAATTTAGTTCAAATCAAAATTTCTGAATTCTCAGACAAGTAATCTAGATGAAATTCATATTTGAAATCCAAATTTAAGTTTTCAAATAAAAATTTGACACTAAAAAATGATGAAGAACTTTTATTTAATGGTAATTGTTAGAAAAAACGAGTGAGAGATAATGGGGGTGAGGTATAATATAATGGATACAGAGTACTCTGTATAAATTAAGAATGTAGCGAAACGACGTAGCATGTGGAAAATTTTATACACATAAGGGCAAATATTGCTGTTGCAAAGAACAACTAGAAAAAAGTGGAGCACCGGTAGTAATCATTGTAGTGCATATATCAATCACCCTTGAGCTGGCACAAGAGAATAACAAGTTAGGCAAACTAGAGCTCGTGCAAGGTGCTGATTTAGAGTAACGTCATAAGTATCTCGTGGGAGTGGTAGGGAAGATTAATCCATCCTTATTATGGGTGCTTTTTTGTCTGCTTCTAAGTTGATCAAAAGTGCCAATAAATTGTTTTTTACTTATAAGACCGTATTTTCTTTAATTTATTTTCTTTAATTATTATTTTTTCTTATTATATTCAAATCAGACTGAATCAGATAAAAAACGACTTTAATAATAATAACTATAGTTAGATCAAACCACATCTTTACAACATCAAATCAGATTAGATTAGATGAACGAAACGCATCTTAAGTCATCATATGATATGTTTATATGTGCTTGTAAACCGACTCATAAGCTACATATAAATTATAAGAAAAATAAGTCATACGAGTACTTGCTTATCTCTAACTCCAAGTCAAACTCCTTTGTGTGTACCCACACAATCTCCTTTTTTCTTTATTATTTTTTTTATTTTTTCTAATTGAGAAGAAAAATGATTATATGTGAAATAATGAAAATAATGCTTTTCAAAAATTCCTTTTTAAAAGTATTTTAAAACTAAAAATTGTTGGTGTTTGAAATAAAAAACTTAAAAATTTACTCATTTTGTCTCAAATTAAATATTTTTCTATTTTCTTTAAATTTTTTATTTTTTTGAATCTTGTGGGACCAAAAGAATACACAGTAATTATGTTTTGGTTTTTATTTAATTACATATTCATAATGTTTTATTAAATTTATTTTTAATTCAAACAACAACGATTTTGAATTTTTAAAACATTATAAAAAACAAATTTTAGAAAGCAAATTTAAAAATGAACAAGAAATAATATCATGTGCTCTCCGCTGTGATTTTAAAACTTGTAAAATAAAATATAATTGTCAAGAAAATGTCTTATGACCAAAAATTGACCCATCTTCACAAGAAAAATAAAATAAAATTGTCCACCAATACTTTTGGAATACTCGGTAATGGATTCTTCAAGTATCTCTGTCTCAAAAGAAAATTATCTTTTCTGTTTATAAAAGATTACTTTTAACTTCACATTTTAACTAAATTTGTTCTACTCCGGGGTATATCATTCCTCTTATTACATTAGACTTTTAATTTAAACTTGATGCCCATAATTATTGTTAAATGTCATTTTAAAGTATTATACACACACACACATATATAAACATATATGTGTGTGTGTGTACGAACGTAGTGATAATAAAGGTATACGGGTCAACGATGTAAATTTTGAAATCATGAAGGTAGCGGTGCATATTTGTTCGAGTTTACAAACTTGAACCAATAAAGTGAAAGAAATATCTTAGTGTTTTAGTCCTACATTGGAAAATAAAAATGTATATTTCTATTTTGAAGAAAGTCGTTATATTTTAATTTTATTTTGGTAAATTACCCTTTTATTGAAACCAACGGAGTAACACATAGAACTAATACAAAATGTCATCTATATTTGATATTAGCACACGTACATATATCATCAATTAACTCTATACATCGCCCGAGTGCATCTATCTTGCGTTGCACCGCCTTGAAAACTGCTAATATATATATATAATCAATCTCTTAAACATACATATATAATAACAAATTGAACACTAAATTATTAAAAAAAAAGTATTATTATTTTATTATTAATTCTCTCCACGTTGGTTTTTTTCTTTTTCAAAAAGATAAAAATAATAGTGTCAAATGAAAGGAGGGAATTAATTAAAGTTATCTAGGGTTTGATGGGAGGAAGGAGCCACTTGGAGGCTTGAATGTAACCCAGGCTGAGGAAAGGTTTGACTTCTGCTTCCGTGAGGTGCTTCACATATGAAGGACGAGTTGCCTTTGATGCTCCCGCTCCTGTGTTTTGGTGTTCTCCAAAGAATATTGTCCTACATATAATAAATGTAGTTATATATATATATATATATATATATATATATATATATATATATATATATATATATATATATATATATATATATATATATATATATATATATATATATATATATATATATATATATATATATATATATATATATATATATATATATATATATATATATATATATATATATATGGGATTGACTCCAGTCAGATGACATCTTTCGGTCAGATGACATGCTTCAGAATGAGCACCACCTTGTTTGAGAATGAGCATCACCTTATTTCAGAATGAACACTACACTGAGCAGACTAATGATTACTACGTTTATAATGAACAAATGTGTGAAAGTCAACCTTACGATGTCTTAGAATGAACACTACGTGGATTCAAAATGAACCCTATGGTGTCGTCTCGCTGGCTATGAATGAACACTACATTGTGATGAACAGTTGTGTGAGAATGAATCCTACGTTGTTTAAGAATGAGCGCTACATTGATTCAGAATGAGCATTCGTTGTCATCTCACCGAAAGTGTCATCCGACCGAAACATGTCATTTGACCGGAGTCAATCCCTGTGTGTGTGTGTGTGTGTGTGTGTGTGTATGTATGTATGTATGTATGTATGTATGAATGTATGTATGTATGTATATAAAGTGTATTGTGAGCATTGGCAAGTCAAAAAATGGAATGCCACACGGGTATGTGGGGCATTCCAACCAATAAAAAAGAGTACAGTCAACGTGTGGCGAGTGAGTGTCATGTCATGTCATGCAGTGGCAAGTAGTTGTTGTTTACACTTTTGTGACATATTTTAATTATAAATTTTTTTACTTAACTTTTTTTTCATAACAAAATATGCAGTTCATTTTTTTAAAAAAAAAAACCTTTTTTCTACAAATAAAAAAATAAAAAAAATAAGAAAACAAAAGAGAAGAATGGCTTGCCCAAGCCATGCCTTGCATGGAAGAATACACAAGTCACGCATGACAAAATGGGTAGATTGGTGATGTGGCCTGGCTTGGCGGGCCTCGCCATTGCCAATGCTCTTAAGGATATTTGATAGATAGTGGAAATTTGCATTAAATAGGATTAAAACATAAGTCATTTTCTAATGTAGGATTTAAACTTTTTTATTCCCTAAATAAAAAAATTAATAATGACTAGTGATAAAAATAATGTCTAAGTAATGCTGGACATTTAGTTGAATAATGGCTAATAGATAATGACCAACGATCCTACAGTGAAAAATAAAAATATATGAAAAAGTCATTATATTTTAGTCATATTTAAGTAAATTTCTGGATTTGACAGTGCCCTTTGTGTGTATGAGAAGGAGGGTGTAGTAAAAAACAAATTAACAAACATACCCTCCCTTGGTTGGGTCACTGCGTAAGCCCATCCATCCCTCGGGTTTGATGGCGTCACTGACGTCGGTGTAGGTAAAGACGACCTTGGAATAGTCAAACCACCCCCTCCCTAGCACCGCCGTTTGGCCGGTGCCGGTGACTTTGCAGTGCACGAAAGAGAATCCGGTGTCCTCGTTCTCACTCTTCCTACCGTGCGCCGTCACCATGGCCATCCGATTCCCTTCGATCACGTGTATCTCATTGTTCTGCGGCCAATCAATCACATCATTCCGTCAATAGTACGTCCATTTTCATTTTTACACACCATTCAATGCACTTCTTTAATCCATTTTATCTTGTAATTTGTATATTTAAAAAATTATAGAAATTATATATTAATAATCTATATGTTAAGACAAATCAAACAAGATCACACATGACTATATTTAGACTTACACATTGAGAGAATTTGATGAGTCAAAGTGCTTAGATGAACACTTTCAAAAGTCAAAAGTGGACAAATATGGAGGTAGTATATAGGATGGTTATCAATTATTATCATAACCCAATTACGAGTATTTACCATACCTTAATAAGTGACTGCAGTAATAATAAAAAGATTACTCAATAGTACACAGAACTAATACATTATACATGCTCCCTCTCTTTTAAAATTATGCTCCGCCTAGAAGAGCGTAGACCGGTAGAGTATTAGTTAAAATTAATCACTCGCAAGATTCACTATTCTAACTCAAAAATTTAAGTTAATAGATAAGGTTCTAACTTTCAAGTAGTCTTCTATATATGTTAGTGGTATTTTTTTATTTCCAGTGTATGAATTCCAAAATCTCTATGATCTCTTTTTTGACTTTTTGTGATTTTCAAAAGAGTGTTGAACAAAAAGCAGAATTTTACCAAAATACCCTTGAGGAAAATAGATTGAGTGTATTAAAAGGGGTGGATGAAATGTCATAAATAAAGCAAGTAGGTGTAGTTATTATATTTTAAATACTCCCTCTATCCCAGATTGTAAGACACATTTCAAACAACGTGCAAAATATCATCTTCTTTATAATCATTTTATTTATAAATTGGTAGAAAAGTAAAATGTAAAAATTACATCACTCAAAAATAGATCAAAAGATTTACAAAATAAGATGCGACAAGAATATTTTAGTTTTTCATAACATGGTCAATCAAAACGAGTAAACAAAAAAAGTTATGGAGAAGCTGATATAATAATTGTTGCTTATATTTTGGGACGAAAAGAGCATTAAGAAAGGCTAGATGATAAGAATATGTATGAGAGACAAATAAAAAAGACTAATTAAAAAGAATAATTACCAAAAAGATGCTTTTTCCATCACCAAAGATGAAATCAACTGTCCCCTCAATGTAACAATCTTTATAGAAATGTTTGTTATGATGATCACAAAGGGTGTCTTGAAACCCATAGAAGTTGCAGTTATAGAATGCGGCCTTATCGCCTGTTATGGTCAAGGCCACGGCTTGTTGTCCTGTTTTTAACCCGTCCGGTCTTGGCGCAGAGTTCTGCAATTAAATAATTGAATTTAATTTACTCGGTAATTGGGATAAAGGAAAGGTATAAAAGGCGAAGCAAGGTTACCATGACGTTAATGTTAATCGCCGTGAAGTAATCCGACAGAACGTAGAGAGTGGCGCTGTAAATGGTCCCCACTTTAGCGGCGGTTTCGCCGGCGATAATGGTCGGCCGATCCTTGGGGTCGCCGATCAAGGTGACGAACGGCTGGTTCCAGTTCACCATCACCTTCTCCGTGTAGTTCCCGCCGGCGATCGAGATGATGTACCGCTTCGTGTTCTTCGCCGGAATGCTCTTCACGGCGTCGGTTATCGTCTTGAAGTCCCCTTTCCCGTCCTTGCTCACCCGGATCCGCTTCACGTCCGCCTCGGCCGCCACCAGGGCGGGGTCCAGAGTGCCCTTTCGGCTCTCGAGTGGCTTCACGTTGGCCGTGAACCAGCTCTCGATCTGGTCCTTTTTCGACGGGATCGGCGGAGATCCGTCGTCAGACGGCGACGCCGCGGCGGTGACGTCCGAAGACGGGGCGGGAGCGGGCGCGACCTTGGTGGCCGGGCACTGTACCACGAGGTGGAAAAGAACGGCAACCGCGAAGGCGACCGTGAATGTAACGGCGTTTCTGGCCATCGTTTTATTGTTTCAATTAATGATCCTTATTTAGTGTGTTTAATTATCATTATGCAGCTAACTAAGTGTGTTTGTTTATATATGGATGAGAGGCAAGAAAAGCGAGGGAAGTCAATGGGCGCGCGCAAATGAAAGATTGTTTGTGGATTAAAAGAAACGTTGATTTAGGCACAGGCGACTGGCAATTAACAACTACGGATCCGTATTATTTTTTATTTTAATTTTAAAAACCTATAGGGAGTATATATTTCATTTTAATTTCCTCCATGGATAAAAAGCTTGCTACGGAAATTTTCACACTTTCCAATTAAAAACTGCAGTAAAGTTTTTTTTAACATGCATAAATGTCCAAACTACAGAATACTAATGTTGATGAACACAAAAAAGAATCTTAGTCAAAGGATATAAATTACTCCGTATCAAAAGTTTTAAAGAAACTATGTTCTTTATTTTAGGAAGTATTTCGTACTTTAATAATAATAATAAGGGCAATGCTAAATTCATCCCCTGGCTAAATCCACCCTATTTATAGGAAATGGACATTTTTGCCCTTTCATTTCTTTCTTTCTCATTTCAAGTCTTGAGGGTGAACTTGTCCATTTGACACAAAAAAGAGTGGATTTAGCAATAACCTAATAATAATAATAATAATAATAATAATAATAATAATAATAATAATAATAATAATAATAATAATAATAATAATAATAATAATAATAATAATAATAATAATAATAATAATAATAATAATTAATAAGGTGTTGCTAGCTATTTCCACTCAGCTCCCTTTTTGACTAAATTTATTCCATTTATAATGAATTGATAATTTTACTTATAAGTTTGTTTGCATCAAAACTTCCTCTTTTGTAATTTCAAGGGGAAAATTAGCAATTCATCGTAAATGGGTTGGGTTTAACCAAAATGAAGTGGATTTTGTAACCCCCTAATTATTATTTATTATTATTCAATAAAATATTTTTTGTTTAAGTCATCCTTTCAAAAAAATTATTTTTAAAATGGTTCTTGTACATAATTAATGCTTCTAATTTGTTGATATAACACATTTATTTTGCACTCAACAACTTAGTTTTGCATTCAGACACATTTCTCAATCCCTAAATTGTACTACCTACGTCCCATTTTATAACGCATGTTTCGGGTTACGTTGTTTGACCGAAATTATTTTCAAACCATTTTATATTACAAATGGTATAGAATTAAAAAAATAAAAATTACATATTAAAAAACTACATCAAAAGATCTACAAAACTAGTAGTGGCAATAATATTTTATTTTATCAAATTGCTAATGAAAATAGAGAAAAAAAGTGAATGAAGTTTGACCCTGTGAATAGTAAACAGACATTATAATTTGGGACGGAGGGAGTATCCTTTATCAAATTACATCTCCAAATTACCTTTTTATATTATATTATATTCTTAAGAAGTTTGAAATTTGGAAATGTAATATAAATAATTAAGTACTGATGAGATTTAGAACCCGGAATCTAGAAGACTAGATACGAGAGTATTGAACAAGGGCTAAGTGCTTTTTTATTGCAAGAGGGCAGAGTGAATATATTTACTTAGTAGAGAATGTGTCATTTTCTCCCCAAGAAAGAGGGGTATTTGTACAATACATTTGTCTTATACTTGTTTTCATAGTCGGGTCCACTGGAATCGTATATTTGACTAATAATACAATAAATGTAATTACAAATAGTATGGCTATAAATATTGTACATACGAATAGTATCAGAGATGCCCTTGCGTGGTCCCATTGAGGCGTACAGGATCCCATGCCTGTGAATCTGCGATATACCTACATTGCTTTATTGGCGACAGGGGCCGAGTACACGACTCTGTGGTTTGGTGGTTTATTGATCTATTGTGCTAGTGGGGAGACATCCAAGTTGAAGAATATGAATCTTTAATACGAGCCCGCATGGGTAGCTCAGTTGGTCAAGAGCGTAAAATCTTGGACCGATGACCAGGAATCGAATCCCGCAAGCGGCAGTGTGGGAGTTATCCAAAAATCCCATAAAGGGTGAGGAGGCTCCTTGTGCGCGGTGCGCACGGGTCTAGCGTTATTGGCCGACTGAGTCACCATGATTTACATCCTCCACCATTCCTGTCGGGCAAGGGGGTGGGGGCGCCTGGGGTGGGCGATTCCACCTTTTGGACCGATGAATCTTTAATACGGTGTATCTCCTTGCATTATTATTTGGTACTACGAGTACTTTTTCCCAATTTCAATGAAGATACTAGTGACATGCCATTTCCCTTCTAAATTACTCCTACCCAAGAGGTGATTGAAAATGGTACTTGAGCAATTCCTCCTACCAAATTAATGACATGATATAGAGGGCGCACTGTGCATAATGAACATTGCACCCCTCATTTTTTTAGCTCTGACATCCATACACAATTACACAAACGACAATTCAGATAAACGTCTACGAATAAGTCGAATCTGTGTCAGAGTAAACTTGGATAGAACTTGAGGGCAACATAACATTTTCCATGGGAACAATGCATATCCCATCAAACATGTCTCTCATGGAATCTTATGACGTGATAAAAACAAAAATAACCTGCCAAGTAAAATTGGGTGTTACATTGCAGGATTTGTTTAGGAGAGGAGACACCACCAGGCAGGCCTTGCGAAATAAAATCAACCGCTACGGTTGCATGCATTGTGTTCTGAGGTATGGAAAGAGTTGGGGTGCTGATGAGAATCTCAGCCTTCAGAGGTTTTGTTTCACAGTAATTCCTGTGATCTGTACAGCGGATTTGGGGCGATAATGGTCGTCCGTGTCCACTTCTTCAATCTCCTGAATTGCACACCATAGCATGAATATAATTGTTGGGCTATAAATTTTGGTTCATTAGAACTATACTATCAGTTGTGTGACATGACTGCCTTACAAAATATGGGCTGTTTAATGATGATAAACTAAAGAACCACCTAAAAGTACAGAAAAAGAGGAGAGAATAATGGTCATCTGCACTTGTTAAGTGTCTAGATGATAGTTTTGAAAAACTCAATGTACTCCCGCACTNCCCCCCCCCCCCTCCCACCCACCACCCCCCCAAAAAAACAAACAAGCAACGTATTGTGTTAGCCAAAAAAAGCTACTAGTATTTTGTAATTTGGGGATGCGTACATGCTCTAAGAAACATATTTATGTAATAAAATTCTCAGCAATTTTGCACTAGAAAAAACTTGCGTATTAAAAAAGCTGATTTTCAAATACTTCAAAATAGTATCTTTATCAACAAAAAAATACTCTGAATCCAAACACTACATGAAAATTTTGGTTTGTAACCACAGCTTTTTCTGCTGAACAAGCACATTCTTGAAACATAGTTTCCAAACTGTAAAGCACATTTCAAATTGATTAAACAAGCACCATCAAGTAAATATGCAGAAAATGGACCCTTAAATCGATTTGAATTATTCCACACTATGAAACTCAGATATGATGGGGACTAATATCTACGGAGTAGTTTGTTTTTTATTCCATGTGGTCAGGAAAAAAAGGTGCATAGAACTGGATACAATAAAGAATTTCATACCTGAACAACATCTTCACCTCTGATGACACGCCCAAATACAAAAATCTTTTCATCCAGATCTGGAATTGGTGCAGTTGTTATAAATATATCAAATCCGCCACCACCTTGTCTTGCCTTGGAAGTACCAAATATAAATGCTTCATGCTTCAGACTGGAAAATTGTAAATGAAAAAGAATAAAACCCAAATCAATAAAATAAAAGGGCCTGAATGTATCAACCAGCGGTCCAGCGTAAATTAAATTAAGATGAGGAAAACCTTGTGTCAAGGTGAGCATAATTTTTTACCCTTGACGTCCAATCTTCGGTAGATTCTGGTTTTTCCACATTACTTCCATGGATAACAAAGTTCTTAATAACTTGGTTAAATTGCATCCCATTAAAGTGGTCCTTAGAACTGCAAATGCATTGACAGTTTATCATGCAAGTTCAAAGCATAACAAGTAAACTGACAACTGAGCTAGCTCATGAAGTCTATTGGAAGAGATGTTGATGGAAAACTAAAAAAAGTAGTTTCTAAAAATTTCTCTGATTATCATGTTGAAATGTGAAAGTTCAGATGTTTAAATGTCAAAAAAAAAAAATATTAAAGCATATAATGCAGGTGTGCCTCTGCTAGAAGACAACAGAGTGTCAATTATCATATAACTTACAAAAAACTCTCCGTGATGATTAGTTAATAGGTAACACATCACTAATATTTATTTCGATGTAATGGAATTGAATACGGAGTAATATTTAAGAAAAACACGCACCATAAATCAACAAATTCGTCAACAACACCAGAAGAACCATCCTTAAAAAGCTCAACAGTTATCAAGCCTTTTGTGGTGCTTATGAGCTGTCAGGCACAAAAATAACAGAATTGAATTCCTCTAGACAAGTAACCTATTGAAGGAAAAATGTGACCATAATGAATTCGAATAAAATGTGTTGCAACTCGCAAGTGCGCAACAAACAAATAAAATGCTAACAATACCATGCTACTTCAGAAAATAAGCATAGTTGATGGTCATGTTCTGGATCCATGAATGGACCTGGAGTATAACTTATATGATAAGCTATGGTTTATTGGGTACTTCAGTTGCAAATAATTAACTACTGTCTCACTCATGGTAATTGAATAAACACAACAGTAGAATTGACAAAAAAAATGAAAAAAGAAGATCAGACGAGTATTCTATAGAATCACCCAGGTTCCCACAAAGTTTAAGGAGCAGAGCTATCAAAAAGGAAAATGGGAGTAGGAGTCCAACTAGAAAAGAAATCAGGAGACAAAAAAAAGAACAAAGAGATGTCAGACGTCAAAAGAAGTAAACAACACAGAGATCTTTGAGGGGTGTCAAACGTGCAGCCTAGATCGATGGGAGAGAGTGGGAGACCACTTCCATGGACACAATTTTAGCTTGGGATGACTGGTATTTGGATTTAAATTGAAGATAAACTATTTTCCATTATAATGATTTTGAAGGGATGTCCATTGCCAATGGATCTAAAAGAATTATTTGTTCTACAACATTTTGAAAGTTTCAGTTTTGTTAAATATTCAGATGCTAATTGTTCTTTGTTTGATAAATGTTTCAGATTTACAAACTTTAGATTTTAAATCCTAGTTCTATGAATCCTATGATTTAGAAGTATCTCATCCAGCAACAATTACAATAATTTCAATTTACAAATCCTTTATTAAAGGATCTGGGAGATTTAATATTCTATAAATTATAACATTTTTAAAATATAATCATTTAATCCTATACAAATCAGATCAGGAGGACATCATGCTAAAAGCCTAAAGCAGGTTAGAACATGACACCATAGAAAACTGGTCTCAAGTCTGAAGTGCAGTGGCATTTTTGACAACATTTAAAAACTCTAGCATTTTTTTGCTCGTGACCAATTACAAAAGGTGAAAAGAACATGTCATCATGGTAGGTGAGTGGTATTTAGAAGCATAACAATATGCTTTAAAACTTCCAATGTATTGGTGGAATCGGTTTATTATGGAGGAAGAAGGTTGTGAAATGCTTATTTTTTGGGCTGAAAGAGCTGAAACTGATCCACCTACTTTATTTCAATATTCTTTTTCTACTATCTATTTAAGAATAAGAATATATGTTTACATTACTTTTTAAAAAAAACAAAAACAACAACAACAAAATTGGATCCCACAAAAGTAGGGTCTGGGGAGGGTGTGTGTACGCGTACGCAACCCACATTACTTTTTTTAAATCATCAGAAAATTCAGTCAATTGAGTCACAAAATCAGTAAGCAGAATTAACCACTTTCTTTTATATATTTTAATATATATGTTTACATTAATCCTTTAAATACCTCAGAAAAATCACCCCGCAGAATTAGCCACTTCATCAATTTCAATACGTACTAAACAGGATCTTAGAGTTAGTGTGACAATAGATTTTTCAAAACGTACAGCATATTTTCCAACATCAGATTTCTTCTGCGCTGCAAAAAAACTTTCACCCTGCAGATCATAAAAGAATCAAAATTCCAGATGTATGCAACAAGAAATTTGAAATAAACAACATTTATGGTGTTGAAGGTAGAGTGCATAATGACTGAATTACAAGAGCTATGGGCATGACATAAAATCTTAAAATTTAACTCCATTCTTAAAAGCGTGTGTTTGGTTGAAAGGGGAAGGAGGGAAGGATCACTTAACCTCCCCTTGTTTGGTTCAAAATATCTTTTAATGTGAGACTCATAATATTTCCATCCTCCCGTCCAGTTGTTGATGGGCGAGAATGATAGGAAAGTTATTGGGCCCCACATTTACAAACATTTTGAACCAAACTTGGGGATGACAAATGACTTCCTCCACCCCTCCAGCTATACAGACCCTAAATAATGTACTTTGATAAAAAAATCATGTTTCAGCAACTCTTTTGGCCCAAGAATGTGCCATGTTTCAATGGACAAAGCTAGTTTTTCATTGAATTATTTGTGATCTTAAAAATGAACTTAAGTATGATAAATTTTAGTTAAATGAGCAAATGAACCAATAAGTATAAGCCTGATCAATGACTTATATGACTAGTACCGCATCCCCGAAAATGTAAAAGAAGTATCTTGCTAAACATGACTCTTTTTTGGGATAAAGACAATATAATAAAGGTAATTATAAAAAAAATATGCACTTCATATTTCACACTTGGGAATACAAGAAGCAATGTTGTACTAGGTTAAACATATATGAACTGTTCGAAGCAAGGATTTGTGAAAATTTACCTCACCTACATCCCTTTGAAGCATGGACCTGAATCAAAACAGAATAGATTAAATACATAACAAAATAGCATCTGTATTATAAAGCAATTCAAAACAGCAAGTGTTTTGCATTGCATAAACATGGCATTGAAATTTAAAGAATGCTCTAACATAACAAAACATAACAATTACAAAATTATGTGGTGAATTTGGGAGAAAGGTGAAATATTACTCTTAGTAGTCCGTCCCACAAAGATAGGCATGTTCCTTTTTCATACACACTAAGAAGTGGTGTATATACTCATATCGCACTAATTATGTTAGTTAAACAATCGATTTAGGATACATCAGTCTTTTTATGGAAATGACAAGTTCAATTTAGAAATATGATTGTCTTTGTGGGATAGCCAAAAAATACTTGGCCTATCTTTGAGGCCAAAGGGAAGAGATTGAACTGTGCAAGCACCATGCAAGGGGAGCAAGCTGGGTTCAATTATACATCTAGCAATTCGAGTTACATTGATGTGTTTTGTTATTGCAGAGATCAATACATGAATACAACCCAACTACCCAAGAAATATTCCTCTTAGTGTCTTACCACTACAACATTCTTATTATCTAAAGTTATAAACTATGAGTATATCTTCAAACTATATCCTACCAAATCATAGAAACTAGGAAACTTTGAGAAGAAGTAGAAAGATGATATAATCTCATAAATCCACACAAATCAGGAAATAATATTTTCAATCCCCCCCCCCCAACCATGTCATTTCATGCCAATAAGCTACGAGGAAATCAAAAGTAAGAATATTAAACTATTGAAGTATGTATGTATGTGTGTGTAAGGATGGAAGTGAATACTTTTCACTTTTTTTGTTTCCCTTCATAACTATCAAATCAATATATTCATTAACCGGCTTTTGATTATTAGAAAGTGAATAGAGGTTAATTTTTTAGTCCTGGGCATAAGCTAAAAGTTCAAAAGTTGCAGCTGCCTTTGACAATGACAAACAACTCAAAAGGAAAACTTTGAACTACTGATAGAGAACAACCAAAACTCATGTGAATGTAAGTTTCATCGGTACTTGGTACCCGGTATTTAACATACCTCCTCGACCAGTGCCTGTACGTGGCAAACAGGAAAAATGCCATTACAGCAGCAATGAGTATGTACATAACAATTGTTGTGGCACTAATACGACTTGGTCCCTTCTTCTTTTTGCTCTGCAGCAAGAGCGCTTGAGGTTTTATCCTCGCCATTTGTGCTTACAACCCTCTGGTAGTGACCCCTAAACACGAAGACCAATTATCGGTTAAAATATGAAGATTAAAGAACCAGGTCGAATCAGAAACACCAAACCAACAAAGACAATAAAAAGAAATCTCAATTACTTAAAGTATCATCGGTAATACAATCAATCAACTTGATTGATCAGTTTGCATCTGTGGAGCAAATTAAAACCTAATCATTATGCACAAATTTTAGAAAATGAAGTAATAACGATAGAATTCGAGCAGAAATCAGGTACGGTGAAACACCAAGCAATAGTGGTTCAAACATCACGATCTAAACCACCGGAAGAAGACTATCAATAGGAACAGAAAACCCCATGAAATGACATCCAGGTTCCACACGGCATAGACATACCAAACCTGCGGAGTACTCGCGAGTCTTATGGTTGTCCGATACGAGATCAAAGGGCTCGGACACGGCTAGGAGACGTCGGGAAACGACGGGGATACACGCGCAGTCGCCGGAGGTGTTGTGAGAGAAATGAGTAAATGACTCACATATGTAAAAAAAAGCCTAATCCGTTTCCTTCATTCAAACGGAGTTGGCTACTCCGTATGATTTTTGTTCCAATTTTTGTTCTGTTATTTTGTTGCTTTGTTGCTTTCTTGTTCAATAATGTCTAATTATTGACTTTCTTGCTTTGTTGTTCAAATGGAGTTTTTGCTTTGTTGTTCCAATTTTTTTTCCAAATTTTTTTGTTCCAATTTTTTTTTTCAAATTTTTTTCTAATTTTTTGTTCCAACTATAATTTTCTTAATCAATTTGTTTCAATTTTTTTGCTTTAAACCTTTCTAACTTTTTTTAAAAATATTTTATTAAACTTTAATTGTTTATTTTGGTTGTGTATGTAAACTTTAATTGTTTATTTTATTTTATACTCACACCTACCCATTTATTCTTCACTCCCAACTAACGATTTAAGACCTGTTCTTTATGACTGGATATTGGAAGAAATTGGAAAAAACTGGAAGGAACTGGAAGAATTTAGAAAAAACTGGAAGGAACTGGAAGAACTGGAAGGAACTAGAAAAAAACTGGAAAAAACTGAAAGAAACTGGAAAAAATTGGAAAAAACGGGAAGGGACTGAAAGAAACTGGAAAACCTAAAAAAACTTTAAAAATATTTATTTTAAATTCGTGTTGTTATAAATTATTATTATTATTATTATTAATCTTATTATTAATCTTATTATTATTATTATTATTACTATTATCATCATCATCATCATAATCATCATCATCGTCATCATAACCATCATCATCACGTTATCTTAGTGTATGTCTTTAAGATATCAAAAAAGTATTGTTATTTTTTAAATACAAAAAACTACTTTTACAAAAAATAATTATAATATAAAGTTAGCATAAATATAAAAATATTAAATTTTTAAAAGGCAGTGTAGTTATATTGCACCTCAATTTACTTATGCAGTATTTATTATAAATAATATATTTGTAATTATAATTTATACGGAGTATATTAAAATATTTTGTTTTAAATATCATACATGTCACATAATCAAACCTATTGTTTCTTTCATGATTGACATTTTATTTTCATTGAATTCGTATTTTTGGAATAAAGACATAGAACTTTTTTGTTTACATTTTTTATGTTTTACTCATATTTTAGTCTTTTTCTCTAAGCTCTTTTGATTTACAATTTTTTTTATATAAATATTAGAAAAATGAGCAATTTTTAAGTAATAAAGGGAAAACTGAGATGTCTTATAAAAAGTTATATTAATAAAACATTCAATATAACTATTTTATCCATAATTTTTTAGTATAATTTAATATATTAACGTTTTTCTGTTTTATCATGTAGACTAATATACAAAAAAATGTCTTATTTATATTAAAAAGTTGAAGAAAAAAATAATAAGTGTGAATCGTAAAAATAGTGAGATGAAAAAAATAATTTATAATAATAATAATAATAATCACATTGAAATATATCATTTTTAGAGTAATTGGTTGAGGACATGCATGTGTGGAAACAATTCGGGTACAATTTCCCTATAAATGTATGGAAACATATTAGAAAAAATAAAGAAAACAGGTTTTATTGTGGTCTTGTGCAGCATAGACCTGTGCAAACAAGGGTCGGCCCGTATGTGTAAAGAATTTAGTCGTACATCAACGCTTACTATGACATCATAATGCCGCTACCAGATGAGTCTGAATTGCCTACTCCAGAGTACGAGATAAAAAAACCTTGAATGCGCTATAATTACCCCTATTGATTTGAAAATGAAAACATGTTAAAACTGAAAAATAAAGTATTTATATTTTAATCATATAAATTATAAATAGTGTTTTAGATAAAAATTTAAAAATTTTTAAAGTTGATATAACACTGAAATTATATTTTTAAAGATGTTTCTAAGAAATATAAATTTGATGATCAAATATCTACTTCAAATGTTATTATTTTGTCCAAAACATTATTCTTCTTTATTTCTTATCACTCTATAGTTACCAATATATGCTTGATAATTTACATAATTGATAGCCCGGGGTATTAATATAAAATTGAGCAAATTCGGGAGCAATGATATAAATTAACGAAATAAGGATATTAATGTAAATTCATAAATTTCTTGGAGTATTTGTGTAAATTTTTAGATTTAATTATCATGGAGTATGAATTATGATAGATGGAGTTGGTAGGCAACATGATGGTTGACTATGACAATGGTAGTGGTTGTATTAAAGTCGAGAAATTGTAAGCATTTGAAGCAGATATCGGTCTTTGATATTTATATCTCCCAAATTCCAAATATATCAAAATCCTTCATTTTAAAAATTTGTGATATCGTAAAAAATCAAATTTAATGTTTCGTATCTCTTGTGACTTTATCAAACACAAGAAAGTTCTAATACCTAAAGCTATCAGAACTCATATTTCTTTTTGTTCATCAAACATGCCTTATACAAATTTGATCGAAATACAAGAAGTGTTTGACAACGTTGGAAGTTAGAATTAATATTTTAAATTTGTTACACGTGCTTCTTTTAATAGTGAAATAACAGTTAGTTAATAAACTTCTATTATCTGTCATTAATCATCTCAAAATAACTATTACGAAGTATATTGTAAAGGGGCAAGGTTCCCATAACATTGCCGGATGACCCGGGGTGCTCCGGTGCCTCGTGCGTAAAATTGACGGTTCCTATCCCTACTAACTCCCTCGGTAACCCCCCACCCCGACCCGACCCGAACACCCCCCTCATCTCCTATAATTGTACCCACAAGTTGATTTTGACCAAACTATCTGGATGTCCATCTCAAGAATGATCCTCCGTTGTGCGAACGTATTCTTTAACAATATCAACGCCTCTTGCGGTCTCATCGCCTCCGCCACCAATACATTCTTCCCTACTTCGAGACTGCGATGAATTTCACCTAATTTTTTTTATGTGCAACATGACCGAGGCTTTAAAAAAATTACACCAAGTTTATAAATAAATATTTATCACCTATATTAAGAAAGTATATAAACTAGGTTTACCAAAGAGTTTTTCAATACTAACAATTTTAATACTCCCTCCGTCCCATTTTATAACGCCTGTTTCGGTTCACGATGTTTGACTGAAATTATTTTCAAATCATTTTATATGACAAATGGTATATAATTAAAAATTAAAAATTACGGAGTACATATTAAAATGCTACATCAAAAGATCTACAAAACTAGTAGTGACAATAGTATTTTATTTTATCAAATTGTTAATGAAATTTGAGAAAGAAAATAAATGAAGTTTGACCCTGTGAATAGTGAACATGCATAATAAAAATAATTCGGAGGGAGTAGGATGTATTCATAAATTCTCAATTTTGGTCCAATTATTTTGTTGAAGCCACGAAAAATGTGAGATTTGGATTTCTTCAATTAGCTAGCCCGCCAACATAAAAATTCGCATAAAATTTCCCGGTAGGGCTAATACCCGCAGGCCCGGAGCACCTGCACTCCAATTTACGTTTCTCCGATGTCCCGCCCAGGTTCGATCTTCATACCCGAATCCGGAAACGCCTACATCGTAGAAGATTACGAGGGAGAAGAATTTGAAGAAGGAGAAGGAGAAGGAGAAGAAGAAGAAGAAGACGAAGATGAAGAAGAAGAAGACTGGTCCGAAGAGGATACAGACGAGGGGGGGGATGAAGTGACGTATACAGGGTGGCCGGATCTATCTGGCGCTGCAGGAACTACGACGCCGTCGCAGGATGATGTGCGAGGTCTTGACAATACAGAAGAGACTACGTCGGACGTCGGAGCATCTCAAAGCGCGAAATCAGTTGAGAAATTGGCAGGTGTTAAGGACGATGACAGTGCGGGAGAGCGGGAGGAGTGGGATAGGAGTGAGGTTGATGGCTTGTTCTGTCCAATTTGTATGGAGGCTTGGTCTAGCGGTGGTAACCATCAAATCTGGTTCGCTTTATACTTTTTTGCATCCCCAATTTTCTGTGATATCAATCTTTCCATACTGCTTATCATCTTTGACAAGTTTAACTTTTGTTAAAAAAACAAGTACTCCACCCATAAGGGTTTTAAGATTACCTGTTGTTAGAAATATACTGCGAAGCAGCGTTTCCAAAAGATGAACGAAGAAACAAATGAATTACGACTTGATAGTTTAATGAATCGTGTAAACGTTTTCAGATCAAAGTTATTTCGAGGTATATCAAAATATTTCAATCGGATAAGACGTTAATCAAGAACAAACACTTTGAATTCGTCCTCAACCATACCAGCGAGACTCTTTTATAAAGTCGAAAATTGGAGACCAAACATGAATGTTCGCGTAAAGATGCGAACCTTCACGCGTAGAAATAGACACGAAAGTCTACGAATGTTCTTGTGAAGAGTTTTCTGTGGTTTTAGGGTCGATTTAGACATTTTATCCATACGTCCGAGTCTTTAAGGTTTTGGATTCCGTTCACAAAAATCTAAAGGATTTTCACAAAGCAATAACGTCCAAAATAAAAACCGTTAGACAACGTCCGAGTCTACCGGGGACTGCTGCCCTTGGACCCCGCTATGAATTTGTAATATTGTTGAACGAGTGCGCACTTCGCACCTCGTAACTTGTTAGACAACGTTTATTCAAATTCTTGTGTGTGCTAAGTAAACTCAATCACACAAAAATAGCTGATGACCTTAAAATCACCAACACCGGTATAATCCTAAATCAGGAGGATCATAAGTGCTACTTTGTCTTCGTGAGGAATTACGAGTCTCGGTTGAAGTTAGACTAATTATCCTACACTAGTTTTTGAATGCAGGGGATCATTAGAAATTAAATATTGCCTAGAAGTCATTTTGAACATGACAAACATTTGATTTGAAATGAGAGGATAAAAGATAGTTGGACTGA